TGTAAACTTTAATAAACTAAACAACATTAAAAGTCATTACACTAATTAAACCGTATAGGAAGTTGTATATTATTTAATTTTATTTGCTTTCTTCTTATAGGATCCCCTAAAAGGTTTGTTATCTATTAACCATTTATTGTATTAGTTTATGACCAACATTTATTAATTAAGTACCTCTTTGTTATTCGAATTTTAAACTCCCAATTAAGGGTTAAGAGTATATGTATGTGGCTAGACAGACACTCTCAAACTCCATTGAGGAAAACCTTTCGGGACGTGCGTGCACAATACCCGGGTTTTACGACCTTCTGCAACGCCCACAATGGCAGTCTTTGCACTGAGAGAAATGCAATTAGAGAACCGTCGAGGGCCTCACTATATTGTTGCTGCTGAGAGAACTACCATGGACGTCGACAGCCGTCAGACAGCCAGCCCACACACAGATCACTTCAGGTCTGGTCTGGTTCTGGGATATGACTTGGGCTTCAACTTCAACTCCAACTCCAAAATACAACAGTCTGGCTAAGTCTCTGTAGCTGGAGCTGGAGCTGGGGCTGGGGTTTAGGCAATTAGAGGGGTAAGACTTATGGCCAGGTTGCCACTCGACTCTGGCTTTTACTGAAGTTTTAGCCAACTTTAAAGTTACAAATCCAACAGGTATTTATATTTTCAAGAGTTTTAATGGACCCAACTAATGGTTCTTATTTATTTTTCAAGTCTTCTTATTCGACAACTCCAATATCTACATATATGACTCCCATAGTCTTGATGAGGTAATGGCATTAACATCTAATTGGCCAATGAACCCGCCGACCGATTATGAAACCGAACTCTTGGTTAATTCGCTGAACCTCGTAAATTGTCTTAATTAAGAGAAGACCTTCTGCCCTTCGGCGGCAGCGGAAGTGGAGCAGTGCGAAACTGACCTCTTAACATTTTAGGAATTTCAATTGCGACTACACCGCCTATGCCCATGACTAGTACATAACTTTTGGCCTTGTCGGCATTATCAGAGAGTCAATAAATAGCTGCGGGGCAATCTTATCAACTCCTTAGTGCGTCGACCATCGATATCTATATCTATTAGTATTTGTTGAATAAACAAAATATGAAACGCAGGCCAGTCGTCGAATAAATGTCACAAACGAGAAAAAGGGCAACGCAACCGCAGAAAGGCCAGAAAGGTTTCTTCAGATCACAATCGGCGACAGTATCGAATGAGCCGAGGAGACTCCGACTCCCGTGGTGTCTGTGGTTGTGCCCCCTCCACTCCACTCCCCAGTTATGAGAGGTAATAATCCACCGACTTGACCCGAACACACTATACACTTGTGTCCACAGCCAACAAACCAAAAATATCTCTCCTCCGTTTTGTTTGTTTGTCGGGGGAAAATTGAGGAGGCAAACATGAGGCAAAATGTGAAGAGAAAGACCCGGGGACTGAAGACTTGGTGACATTTGATAGGCCATGCGGTCAACTGCCGGCGATATCTTTCGGCGGTTCTATTTATAGGTCCCGATGCAATCTGGACCTGCAGCAGACCCCAGATGGAGTCACGTTCGGTGGTCGTTTCCAAATGTCAGCCACTCGCACCCGAGTCTTTATCTCTTGCTCTGGGGGGCTTTTGTATTTACCCCCTAAGCTGGGGGAGATCGGGAGAACAAGCCCTTTATTGCCTCGTTACCGCCGTTCAATCGCACAATATGATTCATTGAGAGAGAGCCAAGAGACTACTCATAAAGTAGCTCTATAATTGATATCACAAAGGCCCCAAGAGCCGGGTTGAACTGGGTTCTACTGGAGCCTCTACTTCCTTAAGTAATCAATCATATAACGCGTGCTGTTATGGGTCATGGGTAAAAACTTGAATAAAATTCTATAAAAATATATTTTCTGGTAAATATTATTCATTTTATAATACATTTGTGTGATTTTGAAAAAAATTATATGAATATAACTATATTGCCTATTATTAATATGTATTTTGTATGACTTTAGCATAGCTTGTATATATATATATATAATTTTACGTATTTAGTTCTTATTAAACAAAAAAAAAGCACCTTAATAAAAAAAAAAAAATTAAAGGGATTTTGATAAAAATATTTTAAGTCTTAAAGCCTTGGCTACCGGTGTCTTCATAGTTAAACCCCTTTTACTGTAGCTTTCTTAAGTGTTAAATCCAGCACCTGCATTAATCAGGGGTTAACTAGCAGAACATTATTTAACAGCGACCTAAGACTTTTAAACTTGTCAAACCTAACCCACCCTTTAACCTAAAGTTAACTAACAGTCTTTTAGCTACAAACAACATAATCTAACAGCTTCTACAACTTTCTTACTCTTCTTTTTCTAACTATGACTTTCCTTTTTGTAATATTTAACCTGAGCTAACCTAGAGTTAGTTTGCAAAGCCAAATAGCCAGGAAAAAGCCTTATCTAACAGCCACTTGTTGACTCTAGCTCTCGATTTAAACTGTCGTTAACTAATAGAGCCGTGATGCCAACGGTAACCTTATCAATAGATTTTACCAGAAATTAACTAACAAAGAGTGCCAGGGCATTTACCTTTTCTAGTTGTCAAATTTTATCTCTACTTTAACCAAGGGTTAGCTAACAGAGCCCGGTAGTTAAGAGCAACCTTATCTAACAGCGCTCTGTAAGCGAACATGCAATTATCATGAAGAACGTCAACGAAAAACCCCGATATACACGCTCAGCTAAATGAGACTTTGTGACTAATGCACTAATTGAATAAACGCTTTCGGCGAGGAGGAAAACAAATGCAATACCAGGGTGGTGGTGAGGAATGAGAAGGGCTCTGCGACTGAGGCAAATCGGAATCGTCACAATTAAAGTGGGTCAGCAAACCGCATGGAGGAGCTGCCGCCGCCCCAAAGCATAAATTGCAAATCCCGAGACACCGAGACGGACCCTTTCTTGGCCACACTTGTATGGTAATGTGGGTCAAAAGCCCGAAATTATGTATTATCATTAAATTTCATTACGGCCGACTTTTCGAGCGCTTAAATAATGCCAAAAGATTCGGACTTTGTGGGCAAAGCGGAATGCAAAAACAAAGCGAACCCGTTACACCGCAAAATTCACGCAATGCCACCACTCAGCAGTGGGTTGTTACCTTATTTCTTATTTTATTTCATTTTTTCTCGCTCTCCCCCCTTATTGTACAGTTATGGGATCGGAACGGAGCCACCGAATGCAATCGCGTCCAGCCAAGTCCATTCCAAGTCCAGCCAAAGAAAGGCAAAACGATGGTCTGTTCTTGCACGCATGTCCATATCGGGAGTTCTTTGGGAATGCGTAGAATCTGGCGACACAGAAAGAAACTTAACTTGGGATAAGGTTTTTCACAAAAATCACGATTGTCACTTGTCACACTCTGCCAAGGGAAACCACTAAGCTGGGTTGCGTTCAGATGTGAGTCAATTTCACAAAAGACCCCTGCTGGAGGTAAATATCTTTTAACCGAATATAGAATTTAAAGTCTTTATATCATAGTCAACTTTTATTGTTAGCTAGTTTTTCTAAAATTGTCTGCACAAATTAATATCAATATAATTTGGGATCTGTATCTTTATTGATTATTACAATAAATTCAAGGTTAAGCAAATACCTTTATTTGAAGAAATAAGTAAGTTTCTTGAAGGCATCCTTACAGCTCAAATATCTTTGATATAAAAACATAATTCTATGAAAGAGAGGACAGATAGATTTCTCTCCGTGCCTTTTGAGTCATGTCAGTGGTCTTCTGCACGAAGAAGGAGTTCAGTGATCCCGCCCGCTTACCAAAAAAGTCCTCCCATCTCTCAGAGGTGTCCGAATCGGATTCTATGTCCATCTTGGTCCTCTCCAGTGGCTTGATTTACGAGTGTCTTGGTTTTTGGTTTGGTTGGCTCTCGGCTCTCGGTCTAAATATAGAGACTACTGGCTTGGGCCTTTATGGCTGCTGCATTAGATATCGTAACGTGTAGATACTGTATCTGAAGGAATGACTTCACCGCCGACTGGGAGCGGAAAGGCAAAGCTCAATCAATGACCGACCGACTGCCGATAAGATAAACGCGCGATTTAACTTTAAACACTGGCACCGAGAACACTGTGCGATTTTTCCCGTCGTTCCACCTTCTTTTCCGTCGTTTTTATTTTGATTTTCTTATTGGTTTTTTTTTGTTTAGCTGGTATTTAGCGATATCTTATCGCGAGGCTCCAAGGCAGGGCAAATATGGGGATCCAGGTGCGGTGGCATTGCAGCCAACAACAGCTGTTGAGGAGCGTGAGTGTATCTCGAAGCTGTGCTGCTCGCCTCCCCGGCTTCTGGGATGATGACTAAACCGGCTCGCGAACTTGTATCCGTTGGATATGTTTTCGTTTATTTTCGTATTCAGCATTTGTTTGTGCTTAGAACGCCCGAGCCAAGCCTCACCTCACACGCGGCAACGGCCTTAGGTTGATCGCGCAGATCGTTGATTGAATTAAATGGATGGCTTCGGAGGGGTCTTCTCACTTGTTGCGAAACGAAAACAAAACCAAAATGAAAATTCACAGAAATTACTGATCGCGCCTCGCTGATTTTCCAGTTTCTCCCGTGCAAATCACCTTCGCACCGTTACTTCTAATTGCGCCAAGTGAAACAAAAACAACAACACAGCCGTGGCGGCTCACACAGGTACACTTCTCTTATTTATATTTTTTTATATATTTTTTTGCCTCTCTCGCTCTGGTTGCCTTTTCTTTTAATCGACGACGATACGCACACACACACGCTCACGCGCTGGGGGAGCAGCTCGAGCGCTCCGGGAACGACATATGGTCAGTTGCGCGACTGTGGATTGACTTGGAGTTGCCGCCGCGATCGTAAGGCGTTCCACCGCCGTATCTTGTATCTGGCAGATACGCAACCGATCGTTCCAACACGAACCGCGCTCGAACGAGCGCGCAACGAACATCGACCGAAGGTTTGAGTCCGGGCTGAATAACTTTTATACTGTGCTAAATTATTAAAAAATAACAATAAACAATGAATCTTAGCAGTCCTGCGTGCAAGATCGACAGCACCACCAGGTGGAGAGGATGAGCCACAGATTGTACACCTCCACTAAGGGTAATATAGCCATATAAAATCGGGGTGAACATGAAAATTAAACCTACGTATGGCCAGGATGGAGCCGATCAAGTAGTACACAGGTTCTTTCCTCGACATGCATAAAAACACCATCGTAGCAATTAGCAGGGCGAAGGACACGAGACCAATGATGAAGGCAAACATGATGGCCCAGCACCTGTCCTGTCAAACGGAAAACAAAAGTGGGACCCAAGACACACTCGGCAACCGTATGATCAGGATCTCACACTTACCCACGTCGTGCCGAAGAGCAGGCATACTCTGCCCACGCCAAAGACCAGGGCAAATACCATCGCAATTATCTTGACGTAGAACCCTTGCTCTTGGTCCTTTATGAGCTCGAAGAGGGCCACGGAAAAAACCAGCACTGCCACAATCACGCCCGTAACTCCGATGAAAACGCAGCCAAGGTAGAGGGAAAAGTAGCCGCAAAAACCCTTGAGACACATTTTGTTTGTTTTTTTCTTTTGTCTTTATATTGCATTAGTTATATTATTAAAAATTTGGAAATAAACTTCAATTTTGGACAAAGGGCTCTGAGAGGAGTGATGTAAAAAGTCCTCATATCGATTGTTTTATGTTTCGTTGTTATACCCTTGCAGGGTATTATAATTTTATACAGAAGTTTGCAACGCAAAGAAGGAGACTATTAAGTATATATATTCTTCATTATTTATTTTACTATCATAATGAATAATTGATGTCCCCCAAATTAAAACATATTTTAACTCTAACAGATCCATTCGAATTGGACAAATTTACATTTCTTATTTCTTTTCAGATCGGGGAATGTACCGTTTTTAGAAAAATAACAGTGTACCCGCCGGCTTTTCCGCTAAAAAATATAAAAAAGCCCAAGACGCTATCGCGGCATCTGGGCACACCAAAATTATAACTTTTCATAAGAGTTGGCAGCACGGCTAGGAAATTAAACAAATATGGATTTAACTGCTTCGCCTCCTGTTAAACGTGCCCGGAGGCGATCCCTCACCCACTTTGAGGACGAGGACATCACCGGGATCCGGGCTGTTCTGTCCGATGAGTTCGATCGGGACATAGAGCTGGTTAAGGCGCACAGCTGCCAGTTGGAGACGAAGCAGCAGCTGCAGGCGGTGATCCAGGAGTTGTCCCAAAAGCTGCCCCACTTTCAGCATCTGAAGCGCGTTCACGATCGCAGTGTGCTCATCTGCCCCAGCTCCGATGTCGAGTCATCGGAGACCCTGGAGCAGTACCTACAGCGCTTTGCGTTCTCGGAACACGTGCTCCGAGCACTGTGCCAGGGAGTTCGGGTGGTGGACGTGCCGGGACGCATGCCCCGGCTGCGGGCTCAGTACGAGAAGACGCTGAGGCATTGGCCCTGTAAGTTCCACCCGAACCACTATTCGGAATCCCTGAGAAACGGCAGCAACTTCAGCTCCGAACAACGTCGAATCCACAAGCGGATGGCACAGCTGCTGGTGAGGCTCTCGCGTGATGTGAATTCCGATCGGCCAGTGGGTATCTGTGTGGACCCGCGGCGACCCAGCGTCGTGGCCATCGCTGGAGGCGGAGAGTTCCGCAGTCCGCACGAGCACTGCAGCATGCTGCTGGTAGATCATGTGGCACGCACCCAGCAAGGAGGAGCGATTGAAACAGACCTTACCTTCGCCGAGGATCCAAAAGCAGGGGACACCACACTTCGAGGCATTCCCACAGTCTACTATGATTACCTGAGCAAGGACGAGGAGTATAAAGACCTGCAATTCGGGGCGGAGACCAGAAGAAGCGACGAAGCGCAGCATCAGCAGCAGGCTCAGGGAGCCGATAACCTGGTCAAGTTCGGACCTTACCTGTGCACCGGCTACGACGTGTACTTGCTGCAAGAACCCTGCCTCATGTGCTCCATGGCCTTGGTGCACAGCCGAGCGAAAAGAGTGTTCTTTCTGAGGAGCTCCGAGAACGGGGCCCTCGCCACACGATTCCAACTGCACACAGTGCGGGAGCTTAACCACCACTACGAGGTGTTTCAGTTTACGACAAAGGATGCGGAGCTGACGTAACGATTAACGAACCTTGGTTTAATGCACAGAATAAATGATTTAAAGGATGTCTTCGATCTTGGGCGCCGTTCTGGCCGTCGACTGGCGGGTGGGCGAGGACAGGAGGCCTAGCAGCTGGCAGTCTGCCTCCAAGATGGTGATGTCCTTGGATGAGCCTAGAAAACGGGTCGACAGCTCTAGGTCTTTGACGCGCAGACGTACGCGGGCTCCCTTGACATAGTCGCTGCCGGCAGAAAAACTTAAATGAATGGTACATCATTTAAGAGCAAATAGTAATCCCTCACCTGCCATTGCGAGCTGGACGAGTGCAGACACAATGAAACTTCCAACCAAAGTCTATGTAGAGATCGTCGCCCACAACATGGAATATCTTGCCGCTGACTACCTTGCCCTCGGCGCTGCCCAGCTGCTCCCGGAAATCAAGGGTTATTACATAAACCAATTGGGGAATTATCTGGCGCCACTCACATCCACGAACTTCGAGTTCCTTAGCAGGGAGGCAAAGGTCTGATTGTCCTCCGGTGGCTGCTCGGGCGTGGCGGGAGCCGTGTACTTGTCGAAGGCACGGGCAAATCCGCCCTTGCTGCCGCTGCTTTCCGCCGAAGTCTCCACTGGAGCAACCGCCTCCGCCGTTGGTGTTTTCTCCGTATCTCCGCTCAGCAAGCGCAAGGTCACCGGCATGCGCCGGCGGCCAACGAAGGAGCCCATCTGGAGCGCCGATTTGCTTAGTTTTTGAAGCAGAGACATGGCTTTAATTCAATATTTCCGGCAAAAAAGAAAAACAAATTGGAAAACACTCTGGAAGAAGAAGCTTCGTTATCGATGAACATTTATCGATTGGTCCCAGCTGGGCTGGCACATCTCTAGAATACCGGCATTTATTTGGACATTTCGAAAATAACAATTTAAAATTTACAAAAAACCGTTTCAAATATTTAATTAAAAATTAAAAATATCAGGATGGAACCTCCTTTGTGGACAGCTCCCAAAGGTGCGTTGACCGCAGCTCTGCGCCCATGATCATGGAAGAGTTCCAGGGCATTCTCAGAAGAATTGAATATTTAGTTTCCCTTTAACTCTGGCTTGTTTATTAATCCTTTCCCTTAGCAATGCCAGGACGATGTAAAGGTAGAAATGCCGGCCAATCCAAACAAGGATCAAATAGCCAAGTTCCAAGATGACTTCGACCGTTGTGCCAGCCAGTGCGTGGACAAACATATGGGCCCTATACCCGGACTGATCAAGACGATGAAGGCTGTGCTTTCTAAGGGATCGAAGGCGACTGCCCTTGAAGACTTTCAAGTCAAACATTTGTTGCTTATTGATTTAAACATCGATGAAACATCCCGCTAACGAACATCGACATTTCTGTTAGAATTAATCAAGATAATCGATAAATCGCAGCTGGGCTCGCACATCGCTAGAATTACAAAAAACACGCTGCCGGCATTTATTTTGATATTACGAAATCAGTTTTTTGGCGTAAAATTATCAACAATTAGGAACATGATCCAGGCCCAGCGTCAGCGAATCGAGTCCGCCGTGACGGAAGCCATCGAAGACATGGACAAGACGCACCTGCGCAGAATGCAGGTAGGTGTCCGGCCACCTGGTGCATGGAAACCCCCAGCCGACTTTGTTTCATCATTTCTAATCCTAACTAGAATGAGATGCATCTGTGCGCCGCCAAGTGCTGCCAGGATGGAACGTCCTCCGCGGACAGCGTCCAGAGGTGCGTCGATCGCTGCTCCACGCCCATGACACGAGCCCAAAATTATGTGCAGCACGAACTGGGAGAATTTCAAGGAAGACTGCAGCGTTGCGTCATGGTATGTTGAAAAACATAAAATGTTTACTTATAACAAACTTATTTAATTTATTATTTTTTCCCCCTTAGCAATGCAACGACGATGTGAAGGTGAAGATGCCGCCCAACCCCAATGAAGACCAAATAGCCAAATACACCGACCAATTCGAGCGCTGTGCCGTCCAGTGTGTGGACAAGCATGTGGGCCTTATACCCGGCATGATGAAGACGATGAAGGCTGTGCTCTCGAAGGGACCCGAGGGCATTCCTCAAGTCTAGTTGCATTTCTAATAATATATTAGGCAGAGCTCGCAAGGATGGGTATCACCCGTATCGATCGAAAGTCTGCAGAACGCCCGGTTGTCCGGGGGCTTGGGAGAACGACTCGCCCTTTTTATAACGGATCGCTTTACAGAACGAGAGCAGTATGCTTGCTTTTCCGAAAGATCTTTTGCATGCCTCTCTCGAGGACGATACAATCAAGCCAAGCATCAAATACAAAACTTAGTTACGAACGGGAGAATTGTCTGCGGTATAAGAGAGCTTCGGCAGAGCTAAAAGAGGAAGGAGTGCATTCGAATGATCTGATTGAGTCCATTTTACGAGCTCTGCTATTAAGTTGTTGAAACTCGTTTACCTTAATTACCGTGCAAATATATAGTGTTATTAGCTCTGGAGCTCATTTTACACTTTTACCTATCTATACAACTTCCTGGAGTCATGTTTCCATCACATTTTTAAATACAAAATTCACATGAAAAACTGTCAAAGCCAGATTTAAATTGTTTATTTCCAAATTATTTATATTAAAAATTGGGCCAATGGCGGAGCAGCAGAAGAAACGCTTGGAGAATGCCATAAGCGACATGATCGAGGACATGTACCGTACGCACTTGCGCCAGATGCAGGTGAGTGTGTGGGGGGTCTCTGGAGTCCAAGTACTCTCCCGCTAAGAATTATCTCCCGGATATATACATATATGGATGTGAAGTCTGCGATGCATCGCTGCGCTGCCAAGTGCTGTGACAATGAGCGTGGAACGCTGGAGAGTGTGCAGAACTGCATCGAGAAGTGCGCCGGTCCCCTGATGGATGCCCAGGATTACCTTCAGCACGAGCTCGGACAATTTCAGAACCGCCTGCAGAACTGTGTCAGGGTAGGATGTGTTCTTGCTTTTGAGCATTCTTAAAAGAACTCTTAAGAAATCCCTTTCACAAAACAAACAACTACAATTTTTATAAGGTCTTGCATAGGTTTTGTTATAACTTTAGTTTGCGACCAATTAATAGAGATTTCCCTTGTCGTTGGCATGTCTGCCCGTGCCGTGGCTCAATTCTTTATATATTATGCCCAATGCCTAACGGTATATATGGTATGTAAACATATTGGCTAAAATAGGTCAATACACTCTTGCCCACAATTATACGACACCCTGAAAATTTTACTTTTCGTAAGAAATATATAGCATATAAAAACAAAATCAGAATTGCAGAATCTAAGCTTAATAAATTCTGATTAAAATCTGATTTTCTTATGTTAAATTAGATCTCGCGTTTTTAAGTAGTGTTAAAAAAAGAACACAAGAGTGATTTTTGGTATGCCTAAAACTGTATCAAAACTATAAGACAAGTTTCAATCAATCGATTCAATTCGATTGCCTGGTGCTCCGCACTAAGAAAGCTCAGTTCCTAAAGCCGCGCCACAAAACCAATATTTTTGATTTAGACATTTTTTTAAATGTAATCTTGACGGCCCAGATCAATTTTAGCACTACTGGACAGATTTGCGAGAGGTAACACCTATTTTTTTTCAAAATGCAGTTTCGAAAGCGGATACGCACTGTCTAGAACGCTTGATCTATGATTCACAACTCCAAGATTAACAGAGGAGAATACAAAAATGTATTCCAGGATCGTCTTCTAACATTTTTGGAAAAAAAATATGGAAATAGATCAGGTTTTAATGCAAGATAATACCCTATTCACCAAGTCAGAGAGACCCCGCGCTACAATGATTACAATGTATGAGCCGTAGGTAGGCCAGTGAGATCCTGAATTGAATTTATTTGAACATTTAATCAACTTTTTTTTTTTTGCCAATAACAATAACAAGAAATTAGAGAATGATGACAGCCTTAAAAGTGAAATTTTGGGCCAAATTTACCTACAAATTTAGTGAATTCAATGCCTAAGAGACTTTTTAAGGTTGCAAATGCTCAAAATGGCTCTAATAATTATTCAACAACATTTTATTTTACCATATTAAGAATAAAATATTAAGTAAATTGAACAAATTTACGTGTCGTATAGTTTTGATACAGCTTTACGTGTGTCAAAAATCAGACTTTTGTGCTCCTTTAAACCCTACTTAAAAACGCAAGATGCAATCTGAGATAAGAAAATCAGATTTTAAGCAGAATTCATTAAGCTTCAATTCTCCATACTTGATTTAGTTAAAATATGCTTCCCGATTTTCCTGTGAGGGGCGAAAGTAAACTTTTGTCGTATAATTGTGGGCGAATAAAGGTCAATATGTATTAAGGGGTTATATACAGTTGTACCGCGCAAAAAAATGCAATTTTGTCGATTTGTTTTTGACATCATAAAAAATATTTATTAAAAATGTTTTGCCGACGTTGTTTAGTACATGTTTCTGGGTTCTTTATAAAATTTTTTCATAAAAAAATATTAAATATTAAAAATGTTATGGCCGAATTCCAAGATCGTCTTTTTTTCGATGGTGACTTGCGGTGGACATCATATCCCGAGAACGGTTCATCAGAAATCAAAAATTCAAAAAAATTTCGTTAGTATATTGTATTGTCTAGTCCTTTAGACCATGGATATGTAAAAATTTTGATTTAAAAAAAAATGGCGACGGTTTTAATAAAAAATTTACTTTTTCAAGGTATAAGACTTTCGATTTTTATGCTCTAAAAAAAAAAGTTAAAAAAAAAAATTAAAAATTCTTCGTTAGAGCTCTATATATTGTTATAATAAATAAGTGGTCAAAATTTGGTGTTGATCGGATTAATAGTTTTTTAGTAATCGTGTCCACCGCAAAGGTAACTTCGAAAAAAAAACGATTCTGAGATAATCGCGTTTAAAGTTTCAAGTTTGTGCAAGCCGATATGCAGGTCCTGCACTATAAATAGCTACAACTTCGGTTCTAATGCTCCGAACGTTATGAATTTTTGTGAGAATATTCTCAACAGTATATACTTGAAGAATATGCAATAAAAAAAAAGTCGATTTTTTCATCATCACAACTGTATATAACCCCTTAATACTTTAAATCTATGCTGCTCCATCTGTACTTTGTGTCTAAGCTTAAGAGTAACTTACGGATGAAACTTTAATTTTGTATACCCTAGCTGGATACTTTAATTTCAGTCAAAAGTTTGCAACCAAGTGAAGGTGTCGTTTCCGATCCTGTAAAGTATCTACATAAATATATTCTTGATCAGCATCAACAGCCGAGTCGATCTAGCCATGTCCGTCCTTCGCTTTTAAGCTATCAGCTTTTAAGCTCAATGAAACGTTGCAGAGTCTTCGACGGGGTAGAAAACGATCGGAAAGTTTTTAGTACAAAAATTATTACTTTTCTGTTTTTCAACATACATATTTTCCTTTGGCCATTTTTTAATATTTTTTATTTCGATTTTAGTTTTGTGAAAATCTAACGGCTATATCTTATATGTAGCTGCCATGGAAATGATCAGTAGATCTAGATTTTTTCCTACTTCTACTGATTATTTTTATGGCAGCTATATACAAAAAAAAAATGTAAAACTGTAAATATAAAACAATGAAAGTTGTTATTACTTTGTTTTTGTTTTTATATATTGTATATATTTCTTGTTATATTATAAACGATATTTCAAATTCTTTCTTGTTTCTTTTGTATTGTCGTTCGATTTAAGCTAAGATATATTTTAATCGTAACACTGTATCTGCTTTCCTTTTCACTTTTATTAAAAGTGAATTTGTCTTTAGATTATAAATAATAAATGGTTTCATTGAGTTCTTAGAAGAATTCTTTGGGATCACGAAATTTATCACAATGTCAAGTAAAGTAAGCTTTATATGAGCCCCTTAAGGGTTCATCTAAGCTTCTCTTCCTAAAGATAGTTATCTTAAAAGACATAACTTACCCACAGGATTGCAACAGCGATGCCCGCTCTAGTCTGCCCAGCAATCCAAGCAACAAGGACATGGCCCGATCTCAGCACATGTTTGAGGGTTGCACGGGCAACTGTGTGGACAAGCACATTGACCTATTACCTAGTCTGCTCAAGTCCATCAAGCAGACCCTGGACCGGGGTCCGCCCAAACGGTCTGTTATCCGGGACGCCAACTTGGATGTCTGAAGTTTGTTCTGAAAATGGGAGACCACCCAGGAAGCTCGCTCCTCGGATAAATTAATACACCATTCGGGGAGTTGTCAATAATTTCACTTATATATTGAAGATTTTTGGTAAAGATAAACTAAGGCTAATGATACACTTAAAACGAAACTGCGATCCGGGACGGACGGGCTTATCGGAGGAAGGCTTATCAGCTAGTCCAGTGCCCACGTGGCCCTCGCTCGCCCGTTTCCGATTCCGATCCCGGATCTCCTTGGGCCCTAGCACGTTAAATATCTAGTAATAAAGATTCTTAGCAATATGCAACAATAATTGTATTTGGGATCTGGCTGTGATCTACTGCTCGTTCAGCTTCGTCCTCACGCCGTACTTGCTCCAGAACGTCACCTTGGCAGTGGTTTTTTTCTGGCTGTCCTGGAACACCGAGCACTGGTCAAAGGGCGGACAGTAGAGATGCAGCGAGACGGAGGTGTCCGAGTGGCTGGGATTCTCCACGCGATGCAGACCCAGGTTGTCTGCGGAAAGGAAAACCCCAAAGTAAGTAAAAATCCCCTTGCAAGTTCCAGTGCAGTTTCCTCACCATTTATGTAGGCCACATCGTTGACGGCAATGGGTGTCTCCCCGATTTCCACCAGCTCCCGGCTGTCGATCTCACCGTCGGGATGGTGGCCTCGCCCGGTATCCCTGCCGGAGCGATTGGGATACTCATAGCGCTTCTCGCGCAGATCCCCCTTCAGCATCTTCATGAAGCAATGGGAGTCGGCATGGTCGTGCACCGAGGAGCCGTGACCTTCGCCCCAGCACAGGATCAGCAGGTTGAACTTGCCATTACCGGCATCCACCAGGTTCCGAGTGTAACTGTAACGATCGAACTTGGCGTACTTGCGCCACTCCCGAGGATTCGACTTGTAGGAGAGCAGCAGGTGGTTCACCATCTCGATGTTCACGTAGTTGGACTCGAACTCGCGATGAAGGGCGGCGATCAAGTCGGGAAGGCTGTCCACGGCGGGTCCGTACTTGAGGGGTTTCTCCAGCGCCTGATAGTAGCTGGTGGCTTGGCGCAGGTATTTCTCCTGGTCCACCTGCTCGATCTCCGAGTCGATCTTGGACAGGGCCATCTTGGGCTTGCTCTGATTGACCTAGGGTTCGAAGGGCAGACAGAAAAGGGTTAGGGTTTTGGCTTTGAATAGATGGAGGCCGTGGAAAACTACCTCTATATATATGGGAAGTCTCTATAAAGCTGGATTCTCAATTGATTTAGATGAATTACGACGTTCTATGATCGATGATTCTATGATCGATGCTAGCCTATAGCTGATAGCTGATGGCTGGCGCTATATATATATATATATATTCCGATTGGTTGTTGTGTGAAAAGATTGAATTCGCTTCAAGTAAATGTAATCGCGCACACGCTCCACCTCGACTGACAATTCCAACTGAACTGACACCCCGGCTTCTGAAGATCGTCTCTCCTGGTCCGCTCCTATATAATCAGCACGGATCGATCGGACGTACGAAAGGCGGAGTCACAAGCCCGGACAAAAACAAGAAGCTATTATCGCCGAGCCCACTATCAATAGCTGGGAATCGAATGTTGCCAGGAGGGGCTCTCCAACAGATGTGCCTGCCTGAATTTCTGGACCAGAGGTTAACGACGCTCTAATGGGACTGCTCAACGAATAAAAAACAAATTTCTATTCTATTATCTGCCCAATGGCCGAATATATGTTTTTGTGGCTGATATGGAGGGTCCCCGTCCGTCACCGACGATAGCTGGACTGATTTGCTCGAATCTGGATGCTGACGCATGTCTTGAGGTGATTTTTTACTTGAAAAAAATAATGGATCCTTGGGGTTTTACCATTTAAAATGCGCCATTTTGTTGGTCAGTTCAAAGGTCTTGGATTTCCACTTAATTCCAAATATATTCGCTTTTAAATTTTACTAATCAAATTCCAGCTTTCTCCGACAAAGGGGGCAAAGTTTGATAGGCCAACAGCCAGTAAAATATGAGAGATTGAAATTCTTTTTGTTCTAAAGAACATTGCTTAAATATTGCCTACTTTCGGGTACAAATGGGGCTTAACTGACTTGCCTTTATCTTTCAAAAACTTAACTAAAATTAAAGTCATCAAGTGAGTGATGCATTTCAGATCTCTTTGTGATTCAGGAAGTTCATTAATGACTAACTGACCTTACTTTCTCCCTAAAAAACAAACAACTGGGCAAACAAAGGTTCTTTTATGGCTCTCCTTACTTGCCTTACCCCAGAAAATGCCCTGCATAACTCGAGATGGAAACGCTTTCCACCAGCTTTTCCAGCTGCAATGTCACAGCGCCAGTGAACTTGTCAACATAATAATAATAGTTTTTTTAACGAGCTTCCGAGCTGTGTTATTAAATATTTTCCCCCTAAGTGTGCGCCACATCACGATATTTCGGGGTTTGGTTCGTTATTTGAAAAAGTGTTTTGCAATGGCCAACAGCACTAAACTGCCAACTTGGCAGTAGCCAACTTTCGCAACAAGTTAAGGCCAATGGCAAAAACGAGGCAAATAAACTACAAGCTGCGTCAATATTTAGCCAACAGAAAGCACAAGCACTTTGGAAAATTGCTGGAAAGCCGGAGGCAATTTTCAAGCCAAGTTCAATAAACCGAAACTAAGGAAAGTGGATACAAAGCTAGGATGCAGGACTCACCATTTTGCTGGACTTGGTAAACTCTTCTTTCTCCTTTTGCAGTAACTGAATAATTTTGAATTTTTGTAACTTGCACTTTTTTCAATACAAAACTCTTGCTTTCACAGGACTCGAAACTGGGACTTGCACTTTTTCAAATTTGCACTATGGCCAAGTTGCCACCTGGATGCGCGCCACTTGGTTTGTGTGCCGTTTTGGGTATCTTTCACCAATTTATGGAGATCTTGGCCGGCAGAGCCGCAGTTTCCACTCAAAACGCAATTCGAGTGACATTTGGAGACGCCGGCAGAGGCAACGCGGCGCTCGAATGGCATTTTGAGTGCTTTCAGCGGCTGCGAGCCAAAACTCAAAGCGGTTTCCACTCAGCGCCGCAACCTGGCCTGGCCTGGCTCTTATTGTTGTTGTTTGCTCAGTTGTTGGCCCGAAATTTATGCTACCGATGTCGATGTCGAGATCTCCGAGGTTGAGCGGCCAGGTATTCCGATACATTTCTCCCCCTTCCCGGCCGGCCTAAACTATTAATTATAGGGTCTGTGCTGTCGGGCAGTCTTCTTTCTTTTTTGCGTTTTTGGCCAAGAGAAATGGTCGATGGTGTTTTTTGTCCCATTCTCAAGTCGCATGCTGGCCTGGGGTCAAAACCGATGAAAGATAAAAGGCTTTTTGAAACGTTTTCAACCCCGCTTCGATTTTGGTGTCAAGTGCCGCTTGCCAATATTTGTTTAGCTCAAAACACTTGGTCTGACTCTGTTTTGATCAAGAGTTATTTGGAGTTGGTACATTTGCAGTTGCCGTTATTCTCAAGAAACGAAAACTACATTTTTCTACAATTTAATGTATTTTAATTTAATTTAATGTTGTTTAATTAAATTATAAAGTGTTCATTTTTTGTTAATTTCGTGTTTTTAGGGATTTAAAATCAAAACACTTTAAATTCGGCTAAGAATATGATAAAACAAACAACCTAACGCATTATTTTAACGTATCATTGCATACTTTTAGGCACACTTCTTAAAGAAGTGACAGAAAAAATGTTTTTGTGCTGTGGCTTTCAGTAGGTTACATAATATTTCCAATTTACAAAAAATTTTGCTAATTATACTTAAAGACACCTTTAAAAATTAATTAAACTTAATAATTGCATATATTTTTAAATTCATAAATATTTTAAATCAAAAAGTAATATAAAATAAAATTGCGAGTGTATCTCAAAAATGTCAGCTATCTTTTCCACCATTTTTTGCTGGCCCAATCGAGAGCTACTTAGCATATGCGTCCAGCTCGCGGCTTTCTAACCGAGTTTATTAAACTTTGAACTATTCTTTTCGCAAAGCTAGCCCACTAGGTATGTAAATCATTTGAATATTCCCGAAAAACAAACAATCTAAGACAAAGAATTCATCTTTGTTTTCGTGCCTTGAAAAATGCAGTTAATAAAATGATTTCATTGACCGAACACAAATATTTTCATATTTTTCATTCATTAACAGCGGGGGGAATTCTCGAATCAGAACAATATTTTCGCGTTTGAATGGGAGGAGGCTCTTATCAGCAGGAAAACGTATTCAGCGAACAACACAGGGGCCAAAGGCCGGGACTTGTAATTTAACGGAAACATTTATTATGTATTTAAATTTAAATTGGTAAAAGCAAGTGAATCATTCGATTTAGGATTTACATTTTCCAGATTAATTTAAACATTTTTATTGCCATATTCAATTTATTTCATACGATTGTTACACAATTTGCTTAATGACTAGAAAAAGTACATGCAAAAACATCAAGATTAAATTTTTGGCTTACACGTTGAACTTTTTAAATGCTTAAAAATCTGGAAAATCAAACTTTCTAGCTGAAGCCTCGATAAGCTTAATAAATTTCTGAAGAAGCAGAAGCAAAAGTTTAGGAAATCAATTAAAATTCGTTTTTTTAATCTTCATCCTCCTCGGACATATCGAATTCCTCATCATCAAAGTCTATTATCTGAAATAAATTAGCATATTTGAATTATTTTATATTACATTTCACTACTCTAGCCACAAACCTCGCTATTCAAGCGCTTAAACTCCGAAATTCCCGTCAAATCCTCCAGATACTTGGCTGTTTCAAAAGTTTTAAAGAGGAAGGCATGACCCTCTTTTCTGTATGCCTCCAAAACGGCCTGTAAAGTAATTATTATTAGCAGTTATTCTCTTAAATCCCCAACTAATCTTACCGATGAACAGGCAATGCATTGGGCAAACTTCTGGGTAGCTGGCAGGATGTTCTCATAGTTGCACAGCATACCCCGGATGGAGTGCGGCAGGATGCCCAGCAGGCCTTCCGGCACCTTGCCCGCCGCCTCCTCTTCCGACTTACCACGCGCACTCTGAGCGTAATAGGCCGGCGCCAGTTCCCGGCGTGGATGCTGGAGCAAAGCCACCAGCAATTCCACGGCATAGCTAGCTGCAATATTGGATACTCCGGGCCGGGTGACGGTGCACTGCTGGTCCAGAGTGCGGTCCTTAAGGGACTGCAAATAGGAAAAGAATTTGGAGGAAAATTACTTTAAAAAGAGTCTCTAAATAATTAAGTTTGCCAGAGATCATAATAAATGTATATGGGCTAAGGGGACGTGAAGCTTTAGCCCCGATGCAGTGGGAAGATCGAAAGCTCTTCAAGCTTTGCAATGTCAACAAACGCATGCTCCGAGCAAACAGAGGTGACGTCTCCAGGGCGAGAACAAAACAAACAGCTAGTTAGTCCCATACACAAAATATTAAGTTGCGCTCGCGGCTACAGCGTTTGCTCAAGCACCAATTGTACCGCCGTTGCTCCGCCCGTCCGTCGCTGATTAGATAAAGTTCCGGCAAGCGGCGGAGAGCCGGGAGAAGGCGAGCTCCGGGCTCTCCCACCGGCCCTAAAATACATTTTGTTTTCGTTCAGTGGACAGGCGATAGTGAGTTCGATTGGTAATTGCTGGCGAAAAACAGGCAGGAATCATGTTAACCGAGTACGCTGGCAACTTGTCCCATCCGCTGGAGTTTGGCCATGTGCTGGAGGTCGTGGCCAAGACCATTGATGGTGCCGCCAGGTGAGCGCCAGAGTGGAAGACGGTTGCTTGCATCCCGCACCCATACCATGACTAATTGCTTGTCCAACTGGCTTCCTTATCGGACCCATGACTAATGCTCCGATTATGATCGTTTTTGGGCTTTTTGGTAGGTTTCACATCAACCTGTGCACAGCCAAGACCACGGTGGATCCGGACGCGGACATTGGCCTGCGCTTTTCCTGCTATTTCCGCAACGATGTGATCGTGAGAAACTCCCGGGTGCACGGCGTATGGGGCGAGGAGGAAACCCATGTCCTGGACAGCAACACGCTGCCCAATCCCATCGTCAGTGGGGAGTTTTTCCTCGTGTACATCCTGTGCTGCGAGGACAGCTTCGCCATCTCCATAAACAGCCGGGAGTTCTGCCGGTTCCGGTACCGCTTGCCGCTGGGAGCGATCCGTGCGCTGGAGATTCGTGACCAAATCCAGGTGATCAAGCAAGTGGATCACCGCACCGTGTTCCCCAATCCCTGGCCCGCCGTCCACGCCTCGGACTACTTCAAGGCGTTCAGCAACGACCAGCCGATCCTCTTCAGTCCTGGCCACGTGATAGTCATCACAGCCCGCTGCTTCGAGAACAAGAAGGGCCAGTTCATCATCAAGTTCATGGACTCGGACACCAAGCGAGAAGAGCTGCACTTCAGCGTGCGCTTCGACGATAAGGCGGTGGTGCGGAACTCCATGAACAAGAACTTTGAGTACGCACTAACCACTATCCCTGTTACCCTTCCATTGCTAACCTCTCCTCCTTTTAGATTCGGAAACGAGGAGCGCCACGGTGGATTCCCCTTCGTCTTCAATCAGCAGTTCAAGCTGGCGCTGGCCTTTACGGAACGAGAAGTCCTGACCGCCGTGGACGGGTACAACTTCTTCAGCTATGCCTGGCGCACACCCAGCGCAATGATGAATTTGGTGGGCTTCAAGGTGACCAGTATTAATGGCCTGGTGATCCAGATAACGGGTGTGGATCACCTGCAGACGGGCGATCCGACGTGCGGCGGCTTCGAGAAGTATTCCCGCCACGACTATGAGTGTGTGTAACCGAACCAAGTCTGAAAATATATACGTTGTTAACTCACATTTCCCGGGGCCGTGACATCGTTGCAGAAGTAGCAACCCAGCTGGCTGCCACGGATGCACTTGAGTCCCTCAATCTCCTGCCCCGCATCGCCGGCCTCTTCGCGTGTGCTGCCATGTCGCATCACCAGGTAGCTATCGAAGCCGAGGGCTGCATTGATGACCACCTTAAAAAGGTCTAAGATTAGTGGGATTCCGTGGGAAATACACTATATATACCCAACCTTTTGGTTGGCCGCTCCCAGCAGCGTGGGAAGCCAGCGGCTCTCGCGTGAATCCGTGAGCAAGAAGATGACATCATGGTCCCGCACCTGCTGCTCGATCACCAGCAAATGCTCCTCCGTCTGGGCGAAAAGAGACTCACCAATTGTGTGACCGGGCATGGGTATTTCCAGCACATGTCCCGCTGTTTCCGCACTGGGGTTTATCTCACGCAATCTTTCGGCAGCTGTGGTGGCCTTCATCCGATTGCCCGCAACAGCATCTGCATGGGTGTAGAGATTCTGGCGCACGGGGTTGGAGAAGCCCACCTTGCCGTTGTCCAGCAGGGTGATGTGCTTGAAGCCCCAGGACTGGAAATTTACAAGATACTCAAAACGGTTAAGTGCCTAATGGATAGATGTAAGCTCACCAAGAGATTTCTGGCCACAGCGCAGCCCAGAGTGCCTGCTCCAAAGAGCAGACACTTGGTTTGGGCAATGACTTCCAAATTGAGATCAGGAACCAGGCGCCACTTCATCAGCTTAAGGTTGAGGTTGACAGAGTTTTCAGCCAATCTGCAAAGGAAAGTGTGGAACGAACAGGTCAGGGAATGGGTAGTCGACAAATGGTACAATATTTATTCCTATGATTAAGCTTACTTGGCTGGATCCATGCTGTCCCTCATTTGAGCCAATCTTGGCCCCATTTTGGCATTCTTGTTCAGCTCCCAGCCCACATATTTCACCTCGCCCGACTGTTTCAGATCGCAGGCCTCCGTTTGAGTCACCTGCCAGATGCGACTGTCGTCCATTTGCATTTGTTGATTGTAACGCAGGCCCAGAAACCTAAGAGTTTTGCCCACAAAACTGGGACTAAGAGGGGGAAATGATTAACCTATCACGAGTTATTATTACTAGAGACTCCTCACCATTGCTGTAGGAGGAAGGCGGCATAGTTCCGCATCAACCAAGCCGGGTGCTCGTACTCGCTGGGATCGGTAAAGCCAAAGTAATAGTGCTCCACCTCCCCCTCAGCTAGGGTGCTCAACTTGCGGGCTTCGTACACCTGCTGCTCTGCATTCGCATACAGAATGAAAAAGTTCTGCGACTCGGAGGGCAGGGTTTTCAAGGCCTCTACATATCTGTTGGCGTTGGGCAAGTCCCGCAGCTTTTGGACCACGCCTTGCTGCTTCAATGTGGGCGTCAGGGGGCAGGGAAAGGCGAACCAATAGTAGTAGCTGTGGCACTTCAAGTCGGCGAAGGAGAGAACAAAGAAGCGGGTCAACAGACTGGGATCAGCCAGCACCCGGCCGCTGCACATATCGGCCAGCAGTTCCTTGCCCTCGTCGGCCAGCAGCTGCAGTTTGTCCAGGGCCTTGAACTCCTCGATGGTGTTCTTATTGTAGATAGTGCCGCTGGCGGAGTGGCTGAACTTTGGCGGCTGTGATGACCTGGAATCCATTGAGATAAGAGATTACTTTAGGCATTCTTAACACCACTTTGAGCTCACCTGTTGTAGGCCGTGTAGTCCACTTCCAGGAGGCAGCCGTTGGCATTGCGGTTCGTGTAGTGCCCAGTTATGGATCTCTTGGTGTCCGAGAGGCGATCGTGGTCCAGCTTAAGCTCTGCCAGCTTGTGCCAAAAAGTTGGCGACACAAACGACTCCCAGGGTGCAAATTGCAATATCGTCTCTTGTTCCGAACTCATTCTATTTCGGGGGCGTTGTTTACGTTCGAACTGGCTGAAAATAATAAACAAAGCTCTTGGACGGGGCGATATTCCAACAAAAACAAAAGCTATCGAAAACTACAGTAGAGCTTGCATATAAACGCACTTAATGGTATTTTGTATTCTTTTTTTTGCAGCCAACATATTTTGTGTTATTGTTATTCAAGTTAAAAATATTTATTATATATTTAAGTAATTTAATTTTTAAACGATTAATTACAAGTTGTAGTCTACAACTAAAAAATGAATCATTAAATTTCGGGTAATATATAAAAATCCAGTTAAAGCAATTGCTTAAAAGATGTATTGTTAATCACAATTTTCAGTCCATATATTTTAGAGTTCCTATTATCATTTAATATGTTAACTAAAATCTCCCTATCTTAAAGGTTAATTTACAGAACCTTTACTGTACTCATTTGGGGCTCAAAAATGGTATTTTTGCCGCATAGAGCTGCAGCCACACTATCACGCCTTAAGATTGGCCGACGAAAGATTGACCAAAACAGAAGAGTAAAAAACCCAAGAAACAAGAAAAATATTAAAATGGATCTGCAACAGCTGGAGGAGGAGGCACGCCAGGCGGCCCTCAAGGACATTCAGAACATGCTGCAGCGGCCGGGGCAGCTGGAGAAGGTTGAGCAGTACCGCCATCGCATCGCCCGGAAAAAAGCCTCTGTGGAGGCTCTGCTCAAGACCGGAATGCAGAACCAACTGGACGGCGTCCGAGTGGGCCTCAAGCAGCTGGAGACGTGCATGCAGGATGTGCGCGAGGTAAGACGTCGGATGGACGAGGTGGAGCGCCTGCTGCAGGGCGTACCGGAGGTGTACGACGCCCTGGAGGTCGTCCGCGAGGAGAACACGAAGCACTCGCAGTACGCCACCGCCATGGAGAACCTGAAGCATATTTTCAACGTGGACGCCAGCGTGCAGAAGACAATGGCGCTGATCGAGGACGACAAGCTGCTCAATGCCCACCAGTGCCTGGCCGATCTGGAGAACTCGCGGGATGACCTTCTGTACGAACTGCACAAGCAGCCGAAGCAGCACGCCTCCGACAAGATCACGCTGAAGCGCCACTTTGAGAAGGTGGACACCGTGTCCCGGGAGCTCGAGAAGAAGCTACGCATCAATATCAGCCGGACGCTGAACATCCTGCGCAAGAAGCCAACGATTATCGTCACCGCCCTGCGCATTATCGAGCGGGAGGAGAAGAACGACCAGTTCGCCCTGCAGCAGCAGAAGGTCACTGGCTTCCTGCCCCCGGGCAGGCCCAAGGCATGGCGCCGCATGATAATGGACGTGCTGCAGCAGTCGGTGGTCACGCGCATCGAGGGCTCCAAGCTGGAGGAGCGGGCGGACAACAAGATGTGGCTAGTGCGCGACCTGGAGATTCTGCGTCAGATTATACTCGAGGACCTGCGCGTGGTCAAGTCGCTGTGCGTGCCCTGCTTCCCGCCGCACTATGACATCTTCGGGGAGTACGTCAAGTTCTACCACGAGGGACTGTCTAGTTATGTGAGTTGGCTCGGATGAGATTCCCGCGCTTATACCTAATCAAACTCCTCCTTTCAGCTGGACAACATCGTGCGCTCTGGGCTGGAGGGCAATGAGTACGTCTCCATGCTGGCCTGGGTCACTCATACATATCCAGGCGTGGAGCTGATGGCTCACCCCGATCTCAACGTGGATGTGCATCGGTTGATCGGACCTCTCCTGCGACCAGAGCATCTCAAGGCGTTGGAGGATGAGTACCTGCAGAATATGCAGCGCAACTACCAGGAATGGATGACCAAGGCGGCGGAAACGGAGAAGCAGGAGTGGTTCTCTGAGATGGTGCCCGATCAGGACGAGCACTACTACCACACATCGGCACCGGTGATCATCTTCCAGATGATAGATCAGCATCTCCAGGTGACCAACACCATTCACCAGGAGCTGACGTTCAAGGCGCTCGTGATGAGCATCCAGCAGGTGGAGATCTTTGGCCAGACATACCTGAAGAACGTGATCGAGCTGAAGGAACACCACTTCCGCAACCGCGACCAGATCAAGTACTTCACCCACTACATCATCACCATCGTGAACAACAGCCAGCAGATGGTGGAGCTGGCGCAGCAGATGAAGCAGCTGTACTGGCCCAAGTCGCGCACAGAGCACTACGAGGACTTTGAGCGCCTTCTGGTCACTTTCCAGCGGATCCGGGCGCACGCCGCCAGCTACTTGCTGGAGGAGGCCTTCCTGGACATGGAGTGCCACTTCAACGACCTCTTCACCGCCAAATGGCTGGCCAGCAACATTGCCGTGGACACCATCTGCGTGACCCTGGACGACTACTTCCAAGACTACAACCACCTGCGGCCCAATAACTTCGAGATGGTGATCAACGAGGCCCAGAAGCTTCTCGCCAAGCGCTACATACGGGCGCTGCTCTCCAAGCGGCTCTCAAAGCCGCGCACCGAGTGCGATGCCATCACCCGGAAAATAAAGGCGGAGGCCAAACGTTTCAAGCTGTTCTTTGAAAAGATCGCCCCCAAGATCTCTCTGAGTGATTCGCCGCTCGACCTAATCTCCACTCTTTCGGCACTGCTTAGCTCGGATATTGAGTTGCTGGTCCTGGATTTGCACACGCTACTGGGCAGCTATCCATCCTTGAACGAGGACCATTTGGTGCGCCTCTTCTACATTCGAAACGACGTAAAGGCAGCCGAAGTGCGGGAAAAGGTGCAGGATGCCATGAAGTCCAAGAAGGCCAGTATTGTCAGTATTGCCAAACAGGACTGCATCTTCAAGGAGATCGTGTTCAGCGACAAACTGTGGTAGGCGTCGCCGTGTTACCCTTCACCCCATTCCGCATGATCTATTATGTGCAGTATCTATTCTTAATCTCGGATTGTAAAATATATAAAGTGCTTTATCAATGATTAAATTATTGTATTCTTAACCGATGAAATAGAGCTTTTAAATTTTAAAATATATTTCTGAATGGGAGTCACAGGATCAGATTCTTAAGTATAAAGTTTCTAATAACAACCATAAAAAGAAAGGAAGTTAACTTCGGCACTCCGAAGTTTGTATACCCTTGTCGTTTACAGTTGGATCAAACTAACAGGAGATATATAAAATATATATGTATATTTTATACATATCATATTATTATTTTATTTTTATAAAATTTTGAAAACACTCAAATCGTTAAATAAAAATATTTCGGATTTGTAATATTTAATATGATGTAAATTATAAATTTATAATACCAACTTTCGACTATATTTTATCAATACAAAAATATACATAGATAGTTTTATATTCACAGCTTTATTTTTTTTATCCTGATTGTTCCTATGGTAACTATTATATAATAAAATTATATATTTTAAATGGGCCAAGCTTCAGAATAGATGAAAATATGAAAAAACAGCGAAGTTATTATTTTTTTCCTATGGCAACTTCATGATATATTTCGACATATATAGTAGTTAGCATAATCAGGAAACTTTCTGCAAAGTTTCATTCAGAAGTTGAGGGTCTAGTTTGCGTAGATCGACTCGGCTGTTGATGCTGATCAAATATATAAAGTTTATATGGTCTTAATCGTGTTCTTCTCTGCGTTGGAAACTTCTGACTAAAATTAAATTACTCAGCTAAGGTATAAATTATAAACCGTTGCCTAATATCGGCCTACGCAAAAGCAGAGTTTAAGAAAAAAGCCAATGATGGATGTCTGGTTTATTATTTCCCTTTTGTCATTTATGCAAAGGATGTATTCTCTTCCGTACGGGTTTAGTTGAATTGAAAAAAGCCGCTCATCCTAGTATTTTATGAAATGTTATAACGATAAGATAAAGATAAGGACTTAAGTTATGTTTATTATAGGTTTAATTTCTATTACCTTCAAAATTAAGTCATGGGGTATTGGCCCTTGATAAAGCCGCAAATTCAATTGAAAGTGTATTCAACAAATCATATCAACATATCATGTATCAAGAAATTTCGAAAATGTATAAGTTTTAGAACGTAAAAGTTCTGTTAATTTGGGTATTCAAATAAAAAATGGGTATTTTGATTTTTAAGACAAATATTTCCCTAAAATCCGTGTAATTTATTAACTTTTAATTTAATTTTAATTTTATTTATGCCCTAATTAACCATCCAAAACAAGATTCGAAATCCAAATCTTATTGAAACCATAACATGTCCACAAAATAGCTAATGGAGCAGCTCTGTCGGCGAAAGTAAGGCCCTTGTGGGCGAAATCGTGGCGTTGGCAGCACTGGCTAGGCGAGAACATATGTCGGCAGATTCCGTCCCGCCCCCATCACATATATATTCTGTACGGATCGCTCCCACGTGTCAGTTGTGTTTAATCCGCGCCCCGAGATGAGCTTCAAACCCCAGCCAAGCGGCTTCGCCACCAAGTCCATCCACTCGGGCCAGAGCCCCGAGCAGTGGAAGAGTGCCTCGGTGATCCCGCCGATATCGCTGAGCACCACCTTCAAGCAGGATGCTCCCGGCGAGCACCGCGGCTATGAGTACTCCCGCAGCGGCAACCCCACACGGAATGTGCTGGAGACCTGCTTCGCGGCGCTGGACAATGCCAAGTACGGATTGACCTTCTCCTCGGGACTGGGAGCCACCACCGCTGTGCTGACCATGCTGTCCAGCGGCGATCACATCATCATGGGTGACGATGTGTACGGAGGAACCAACCGTCTGATCCGTCAGGTGGCCACTCGCTTGGGCATATCGGCCACCTTCGTGGACCCCACCAAGTTGGATGTCATCAAGGCTTCCGTTAAGCCGGAGACCAAGCTGGTGTGGATCGAGTCGCCCACGAACCCTCTGATCAAGGTGGCCGACATCGAGGCGATCGCCAAGCTCGTCCATGGCATCCGAGAGGACCTAATCTTGGCGGTGGACAACACCTTCCTGACCTCCTACTTCCAGCGTCCCCTGGAGCTGGGAGCGGACCTTGTCTGCTACTCGATGACCAAGTACATGAACGGACACACGGATGTGGTGATGGGCGGCATCACCATGAACTCCGAGAAGCTGTACAACAGCCTGAAGTTCCTGCAAAACGCAGTGGGCATTGTGCCCTCACCCTTCGATTGCTACCAGGTGAACAGGAGTCTGAAGACCCTGTCGCTGCGCATGGAGCAGCATCAGAAGAATGCCCTGAAGGTCGCCAAGTACCTGGAGAGCCACCAGCTCGTGGAGAAAGTTCTGCATCCCGCCCTGCCCTCGCATCCCCAGCACCAGATCGCTCTGAAGCAGACGTACGGCTACAGCGGCGTCTTCTCTTTCTACATCAAGGGCGAGCTGAAGCACTCCTCGGCGTTCCTGAAGGCCCTCAAAGTGTTCACCCTGGCGGAGAGTCTGGGCGGATACGAGAGTCTCGCTGAGCTGCCATCCGTGATGACGCATGCTTCTGTGCCCGCTGAGGATAGGAAAACGCTGGGAATCACCGACGGTCTGGTCCGCTTGTCGGTGGGACTCGAAGATGCTGAGGATTTGATCAAGGATCTGGAGCAGGCTCTCGAGGCTGCAGCCAAGGCCTAAGTGCCTTACACTACGCATCACATATGTATTGATAGATCGCTTGATCATGGATTTGTATATTTTACCCACCAAATAAAAGTGATTTATCTCAAAAGCGATCGTTGAAGGATTTTTATATCCATTTAGAGTCGCAAAATTAACTTTACAGAGGGAATATTCGAGCCCAAAATAAAAAAGCCTGTCGGCATAGGTTTTGTTTTTTGTAAACCCCATCGCAAGGCCCTTTAAAATGTAGGTTTTATGGTTGTTTTTCTTAACAAAAAATGTACAAGCAAACATATAGTATCATAAATATTATAACCAACTGTTTTCACGCGAGACAACTAATATATTTCCTGGAATTTTGTAATTGCCATTCAGAAATACAACTGTTTTCAGTTTGGCGCCGAGCAATCAACTTTTAAGGCATTTCAAATGCATTCAGCATACGCTTTAATAAAACTAAATTTTACATTTAATAATCTAATTAAATCTTAACTTTGTCGCACCATGTTTTCAAATAAAGCCTCTTTGTGACCCCCCCCCATAGGTACAGCCTTGAAAATAACGAAATCAGCCATTGTCATGTGGAGATTATCATAAACAATGAATCAGCACAATTTATTTTCGCCCTATCACTAATCATTCTAGTATTAAAGCATATGGGACATATGTATCTCCTGAGCGGATGTTCCGAACTCTACAATCGGAAACTGTTTCGATTTGATCAAGGTTTTAAAACCGTTTCCTTTCTATATCAAAGTGAGTTTGCTAATCTTTGCTGATGGTTTTATCTTATCAAAGCTGTTTTTCTCCATAAGGCACTTGAAGGGGCAATCAAGGGCATTATCTTTATAATATTAAGACCGACGATGCATCCCTAATGGTAACGTTTGAAAATGAAAGAAAAAGTCTCAAAAATCAAATGAAAATTGTGGGTTTTATTCAACAATTCCCGGTACTCGACTGACAGAATGTAATTGATTAAAAATTAAGCTTTAACATTATATGTACGCTACTACCAAAACCATACCATACGACTACTGTGAAGTGTGTGTGTGTGTGTGTGCATAGGATTAGATGTACAACAAGAGCCATATACCGTTATAATAAGCAACTGCGGCTTTCCAACATTCATAATTTTGCCTTTTATGTAATATATATATATTATATATAATGTTCCTTAAAAAAAATGCATTCAAATTGCTTAAAATAACCCCACTAGTTCTCGTGTAGTGCTTGTCCTTAGTACTTGTATCGATAAATGGCAACACCGGCCACACCAATCAATATGGAGCCCATCAGATAACCCAGTAGCTTGAGCTAAAAAAACACAATTATTAAAATCTGAATTGAAAAGGAAGGGAATACTCGACTTTGTTACCTTGGAGTTGTCTACGAGGGGCTGCTTTTGTCTGGTGGCAGTCTTTTGTTCCATTTTCTTGGCCTGACCGAGCATCTTCTGGTACATTTCCTTTTCGTTGTGTTCCTCGCGACGAGCCTTGATGAAAAGTCTGGCCAAATCTGATTGAACGGCCCTGTTTTCCGGCTCGAGCGTGGCCACCTTTTGCAACAGCTTGATGGCGCCCTGCGTGTCCGCCTTGCCCTCCAATATCTGAAGAGTGAGGAGTGTGATTATATTGAACTAAACGGGTTGCTAAACGAGACGCTTACCCTGCCCTTGCGGTAGAGGGCCTTGGAATTGTTCGGCTGGCAACGCAGCACATGCTCCACCGACGTTAGGGCTGCGTCAAAGGCGGAGATTTTGATTTGGGTCATGGCCAAGTTGTTGTACACAATCAATCGATCCTCCAGCAGGGTCTGCATGTCGCTGTTCGAAAACTAATCCGGGGGTCAAGTCACAGCTCAACACTATTGTTAGGTACTCACCGGCAGATCTTCCTTTAGGAGTTCGGCTTCTGGATCCCCGTCTCTTGTATCCAGATAGTCCAGGGCCCGCCTGTACAGATGAATGGCGGTATTGAACTCCAAGCGCTTGTAGAAGAAGTTTGCTCGTTCTTTCTTGCGGGTTCTGAAAGAACGATTTGTTTTCATTAATAATGTCTCAGGCACATGGCAGGTGACATGTCTGGCACACACCCATATTTGCGCAGTAATTCGAAGCTCTTCAGATCCGCAAAGTCTTCGTATTTGCTGTCCAAAAGCTCAATTTCGTAGGTAAGCTGCAAGATGTGACTTCATTTAAGACATGTAGTTCCTAGGGGATTGTGAGTCGAAACCTACATTCGAATCGGGTGGCACAACGAATTCGGACTCTCCCTCCCTTTTCAGGCCAATGGAACCATAGCCGAAGCGGGGATCTACGCTGACCTGGCTCACCTCGCCGACCAGCATCATGGGCAGCACCATGTCCAGGCCTTGGACTACCTCAAAGTCCCCAATGTGGCACTGGAAGCCCTTCTCCTCCTCCACCACCTTGCCGTTGTCCAGCTTGCCGGTGAAGTTGATGGTCACCAAAAAGCCGCGACTCGGCTGATCGGCTCCCTTCGGCGCCTTCTTGATAATTCGCTTGATCAGCTGCTTGTTACCCAGTATATCACATTCATCCTCGGCCTCCACCGCGGACTCCGGCTCCTCGGCTGTCTTTTCATCGCCAAGGTCCGCCGAGAGGGTTGCGCCATCCCCGGAAGCGGCTTCCGCCGCCACCTTTCGGATGTCCTTGGTGTCCTCGGCGTTGGTGAGGTCCTCGAAGGAGCTGCTGCTAGACTTCTCCGTATCCATTATTACCTGCGGACCACGAGTGGCGAGAGGTGGGCGAGAAAGTGTGTAAATCACTGGAACTATGAACAAAGGGCAAAGGCAAATTGAGGTGAATGAACGGGCTCTTTGTGGTCGCCCAGTCCGCGAGGAGCCCCGACTTACGGTAGTAACTGAATCTGGCTTTTATTAACAGCAAGTCTTAGTTTCCGAAAACAACATGCGGCAAGTGCTACAGGGAAACGAACAAAAAATTATTTTTGCCTTTGGCATTTCACTGCCTACTAGAGGTGGAATGTCACTGTGACTGGCAACTATCGTTTGAAATATTGGAAAAAGAGGGGACAAAATATTTAAACTATATAAGTGGGCTGTTAAAAGTAGGTTTTTATTAAAAGATCTTGAATTGTATACTCTTAACGCTTTTATATTTATTTATACGTGACTTTTTAAGCATTCTAGTTCTGCCTACTATCGATAAGAATCGATAAACTAGGCAGTCAGTGTGGCCATTCACGCGAAAAAAACTGAAATTGAATTCAATTCAAATTCCGCAGCTTCATTTTCCTTTCAACGGTTGTCCCGGGCGGTTGATCGATGTGAACGATCCGCATTTTCGTCGCGATCCGAGATCGAGTTGGCGAGATAAAACCGCGAATGCAAAAAGAACACCGCAACAGCAGTAGCAGCAGCCACGATGTAAACAAAGAGATGACATTTAATATTAGCTGTATACCAACGGGGCATAAATACAGACGCGAATCGAAACGAGACGGGCTCGGGCCTGGCACTGTTTGTGCACAAAGTGAAATCAGCTGGACAACAAGTGGATTTTGCAATTGCCTTGGCTTGGCTTATTTTGTTTTGTGCCACTTGTGGCTGTTGTAGCTGCAGTTTTCTGTGAAATTAACACCCTTTCTATTGGCAGTAATGGGAGGTATACGCTTAGGTACTGGTTACGAGCGCATTTCCCTTTTCTTTAGCATTTCTGTGGTGTCAAATGTTGCTTAAATTTTGGAAAATTTTGCGTTTTTTAAATTCAAACCAATTTAAATCTTTAAAATTCTTCCTAATATGATAAATTGAACCCTTATTGCGTAGAGACTTTGCTTTTAACCAAATTAACATTATAATAAATGATTTAGTGTAGTAGAAAGTAAGGAATAATAACTCATTTTATTGCCAATAATTGCTTTACTTCCCTGACACAAATAAAAGACTTCTCTCAATATTAAACGATTAAACTATCTTAAATTAGTTTCTTTTCCATTAATTTAATGCCTATTATATAACTTTGTAATATAATTTCTCTGTTGCATATTTCTTTGAATTCGATTTAGTTCTGCGGGACTTCAAACCCGTTTCAAAAATGATGTTGCACATTTTCTGTGAGTAAACCTTTTACCTAGCTTAGTTGAACAAGTAATGATACCTTTCCCATCACTGTATGAGCTATTTTTCCATGCGGTAATGCCAAAGTCGTGGAAAGAAACCGACTTCTTAGTTGTCTTGAACTTGATGCGCTTGAACAAACATGCACAGGTGCATGTTCATAAATCGAGCGATGCACCCGAGTAACTCCATGACACAATTGATGCATCCCGGTCGGAATTTCCTCTATTAGGCCTTTTCGCTTTTACCTCGATTTTCTTTCCTTTTCTTTTTTTTTTTGCAATGCGCAATATCTGCTTTTCGCAACCCGTTTTCTTTCGCCTGCAGTTTGGCGCTGGCTTTTCCTTTACGTAACTCTCAGCAACGTCGCGGGCCAAGCACGAGCCAAATCCGAAGTGAAGTGTAAATAAATAAATAGCCACCGCGAAACCCAGTTTTGTGGTTTTCACTTCTTGGCCACTTCAGTCCAGGCTTAAAGCCGGTACGGCAGTAGCCAGCACGATTTCATTATCGCACAACACTTCCCCTGCGGAATAAACAATCGCGGTTACTTTTTGAGGAAATGTATAAAATGTTAATCCGCAGTTCGTTGGCCAAGTGAACCCGTCACTTTGTGCATATCCAAGTTGGATTTAGTGGAAATAATGCCCGATTTTGAATTCTACGCAGCCTAGTAGTGTTGGGTACTAATCAACGCCACCGTGCCAATTCTCTTGATTTTAGTGCCAAATATCCAAAGTGAACCTTAAAATAAAACAAACAAGTAAACAATTATGGGCAAACAATCGTCGTTGTCGGTCGTGACGAGTGGTGTTTGGCTTTTGTCCGGGGTTTTACTACTAAGTTTTACGGAGACAAGGGCCTATGGCTTTGGACGTTGCCCGAATTACCCATCGATGCCAAAGTTCAACATGAGCAGGGTGAGTGATCAAACCGGAAGTGCAAACCATTAACTAGATATACTTCTTAGGATGTCTTGAGATAAGTTAAGTACAGCTTGTTGTTGAAAATATCAAAAGTCAGAGCACTCTTGTGATAAACTAAAGTAAAACAAAAACTTGGACAGGCTTAGATAAAAATTCTCTTGCATCAGGTTACCTTATAAGCCAAAGGTTAAACTCTGTGACTAGTTTTTCTACTAGTTCTAAAACAAATACATATGTACCTATCCCTGAGTAATGATTAATTGCCTTGTAAATTGTGCAATCAAAATTAATACAATTTAAACCAGTTTTTGCAAAAGTTCAAACTTCTTAAAACAATCATAAAAAATTTAGACTTTAAATACTCCGTGTTTAATGGAATTCTATTAATCCTTAAACTTTCCCGTAACCCTCAACCATTAACCACGCCCAACCCAGTATTTTTTACAACATTAATAAGCGGTGTAAATTCGGCAGTGTCATCAGTTATTCGCCATCAACGCAAACGTGTCACATCTCCGATTAATTAGCACAAGGCGGCGGAGAAGACCTTTCTTCATTTTATTTCGTGGATTGTGCATAAGATGAACTTGAACCAATTTAAGGCCACCAATCCGAGATCCGCTGTGTAAAATGCAAAACCTGTTTTACAGAAGGAGACGAGAGGCACAAAAGCTTTATGGCCTGTCCAATGGTAAACAAACCACTTAGTTTATAAAGAAGTAAATCAACCAGTACCAAAGTCGAGAGACATGGGCATGCCAAGGACAACCAAGTGAACCACAGTCGAGCATCCCTAACTGGAACAATTCACAAGTTGCATTTTCTAAATAGCTTACTAAAATGTATCTTAAATTCTGACAACTTCAGAATTGGAAAATAAGAGGTATTTCTTATATATTCCGTAGAGAAACTGTCAGCTGAAACTGTGACTAAATTCCTTCCATGATGTTTAAATTAATATTCAAAAAAAACTTTACATTATTTCAAATAACTTACAAGGTTTATGAGGTCTTTTAAATAATACATTTCGTAAATTTCTTTTTTGAATAAAACCAGTTTCCTGAACTTTCTGTATTTCTAAGAATTTTTTAAGGTGGATTTCATTGTGGCATTTAGGTGTTTGAGTCATGCGAGCTATGCTGTTTATTTAGCTACTGTGGCCATAGACTAGAAAATTGGCTCTATCCATTTAGCAGCTTAAATTAAATTGATTGAGCCTTGATTTGCATAAATGATAATGCACCATAATCGCACCCGTTGCCGTATCTGTGACTCCAATTATGTGCGGGTCTCCGCTTCCATGTGGCACACCATCCAATCGAGCTGTTGACTGGCGTGAATTAAGCCACTTGTCATCCTCGCCCACTGTTGACCCGGGGCAAAGACCTCGGCTCTTCGCTAGCGTCGATTAAACGCCAGCTACTGGTCATTAAATTCGCTGCGGCGCCCTGCGACTTTGAACTGCATTAAGACAAAGGGGAAGTGCCTGCCAAAAGTGCGACGCCAGCCAGAAACCAGTTTCAAAAAAATGTTTATGCTTTACGCATTGTTTAGGTTGCCGTATTAGTAACCCACTTTGGTATTTCTTGACCGAGAGAAACGCTGTTGGGTTGACAATGCCTTTGCCAAGTCCAAGTTGGAGTTCTCAGCCGGTTGCTATAGAGTTCTGGCTGGGATCCATGTGCCGGATGCCTGATAAAAATGCCTGAGATAACAATGGAACTATGGTGTCAATAACATGGCAAATGCTTTGACAACTGCAATGCAAATAGAGAACACTTGCAGGGAACACATGTTTATAACTACAATAGGATGAAATTGTATGCAAATCAATAAACAAAAGCCTTCTATAATTACAAAAAAAAAAAGTGTGTGAATAAATGCAGAGTTTTATCCATCTCCTAACTATCTAGCACTGCAAATGGTTTTGAAATTGTAACAGATTCTAATGAGTAATTAATAACTGAACAACAACCTCTCATTCTACGACAATGCCCAGGGTATATATGTATTATTTGTACTTGGTCTGTCCCTTTTTTTTTTAAATAATAAATCATTGCCAAGATATAGCTTTATACTAATAAACCCACTTACCCTAGCTCTTAGTTTAGAAATAATTGTATCTTTCAGATAAACAAATAAATACAAGCATGAGTTTGTTCTCTGCTGAACCTTTTTTATCTGGTAAATAATAGTCATGGGAGAGTTATATATGGTTCTCTTGCAGGTTCTAGGTCATTGGTACGAGGTAGAGCGTTCATTTTACCTGCCGGAAATTGCCTCCGGTTGCACCACCTTCCAATTCCAGCCGTATAATAAAGCAGAGCAGTCCAAGTTCGCCAATTTTAAGCTGGCAGTGGCCATCAAGAACATCAATCGCATGTAAGTAGCATCGTAAACCATCATAAATTGTACAGAAAACTCATATTATTTGGCTCCTTTCAGAACCGGTAATCCGAATGTAAACATCGGCTATGCGACACCGGAAAATAGTCGATCCTCCATCATGGATTTCAAGGTAAAAGCTCGTTTAGAAAATTAAAACTCAATAATATTTATGTATTTTCCGTAGTTTACCACCCGTTTCCCTGATGTGATTGCCCGTCTTCTACCGGGCTCTGGCAAGTACCAGGTGCTCTACACGGACTACGAGAACTTTGCCATTCTGTGGTCCTGCGGCAGCATCGGCTCCCTGGGCTACTCCGATCAGATCTGGATACTGGGACGCGATCGAGACTTCGAGGTGGACATACGCTCCAAGGTCTACGATGTGTTGAAGCGACTCTCCCTAGATCCGGAAAGACTGATCATCAGCAAAAACAAGAACTGCCCCGAGGCGCTGTGAGAGGCGGTGCACCTTCATCCCCATCTATATATATATTTAAGTTCATTCGGTTAAGGAACAAAATCCCATTGGATGCCTAATCATTTAGGCTGCTGTGATATCGAGGAGAGGAGTGTGTGAGTGCTGAGAGAGGATTACGCAAATACAGAAGCAAATAAGATTAACTCGATCGGGGACTTTCAGTATCTTCTGGACGCTTGGGTTCAATTAGCGCTGGCGTCCTAATTAGTTGGCAATAAACAGAATTTCCCAGTCATTGCAACTCAGTCGTGATTGACGAACGGATCGATAAGGTTCTAAGCTGGCAAAGATGTCCCGATTGCTGATCTTAGTGTGCGCAATTTTGTTCCTGACCCTCTGGCAGATGTCTGAGGCGAGAGGAGGCGGCGGCGGCGGTGGCGGACATGGCGGAGGCGGCCATGCTGGAGGCTTTGGAGGAGGAGGTCGCGGTGGGGGCTTCGGAGGCGGACGAGGTGGAGGATTCGGCGGACGTGGCGGAGGCTTTGGAGGCAGAGGCCCAGGCTTTGGTGGACCAAGAGGTGGAGGTTACAGAGGAGGACCTCGCCCGTATTACGGCTATAGGGGATATGGTGGTTTTGCTGGCTACGCGGGATACGCTGGTTACGCTGGAGTTGTCCCCGTTCCCGTGCCCTACCCTGCCACCTACAGCCGGTGCTACTACGGCGACTATTACTACAACTATTACTACTGCTGACATCATCTCTGTTACGATTATGGATGGTTTATTTATACAAATTACATTTAACACGTTTTGTAGTTACAAAGATTATGTAAAGTTACCCCAGAAAGTTCGGGATGTAGACAGTTCTCTAAATATTCCGTATCTCAAATATTCCTTATTGTTTTGATGGTCTCCGGTGAGTGGTTCCTTCCTCGCGGAGTGAGCTCCGATGGCAGTGCTTAGGGCTAGTCAGAAATGAATCCCGCTAAAATGCAATCTACATATGCGCATCTATGTGTTAATAAACTTAAGCTACGGGCTAGATATGAGTACACGAGACGTTGCTGATGCGTTCGTTGTTGTGGCAGACTAATCGATTGCTGACCGACAGATCAGAGGGCAGAGTACTCAAACAAGAGTTTTGGAGTGTGGAAGCATCCGAATCCGATTAGAGACATGGTAAGGAAGCGTATCCGTAACGATATGGAGTGGTCTTTAAACTAACTTAATCACAACATCCCTCTGATCCCGCCTATTGCTGCGGTAATTCAAATCAATATGCATATAGGTTTAGTATAAAATGTGCGAAATTACACTGGAATAAATATCGAGGACACGGCATCTCGGCGGGGTATAATGGATTACAGTTTCCCGCTAAGATGGTTCAGCCTTTGCGAATCACCCAGTGTGTTTGTGTGAATATACGGTTCTATTGAATGCCCGGAAGACAGCGGACGAACGTTGTGTGGTGCACGGATTCGTTACGTTTTCCTCTCTTTTGAGCGATCCTCTAGAGCATCGCCTTGCACTCGCTCTCGGCGATGCTGTGCTGGATGCAGTGGTTTATCTCAGCGAAGCCCGGCCGCTCGTTCGGCTTGCGGTTCCAGCAGCGACGCATCAGAGCGTAGACGGAGAGCGGCGTGTTGTCCGGACAGCCGAGGACGTTGCCCTCCTTGATGTACTTGATAACCTCCTCGTGGGTTAGGCCAAAGTACGGTTGCAGGGCGAAGGAGAAGATCTCCCACAGGCAAATGCCGTAGGCCCACACGTCTGACTCTAGCGAGAACTTGTTATACAGTATGCTCTCCAGCGGCATCCAGCGGATCGGGATGAAGTCGTTCTCGTCGCCCTTGTAGTAGTCCTGCAGATAGATCTTGTGCGACAGCCCAAAGTCGGCAATCTTCACCGCCATGTGCTCGTTGATCAGGCAATTCCTCGTGGCCAGGTCCCGGTGAACGAACTTGCGCTCCGAAAGGTAAAGCATGCCCGCCGCTATGTTGGCGGCCATCTGGAGCAGATGCAGCTCGTTGAGCTGCAGGCGATCACGGTTCGGCGCCTGGTGGGTGGCGTACGGAGAGCAGGCGCGCAGGAACTCACTGAGATCCCCGGGCGCCATGTACTCGAACAGAAGGCACATGGGCCGGCCCAGGGCACACACGCCCAGCAGCCTGACGATGTTCGGATGATCGAACTCGGCCAGTAGGCAAGCCTCGCGCTCGAAGTCCATCTGCATCTGATCGCTGGCATCGTCCTTGAGCATCTTCACAGCCACCAGCAAGTCCTCCTGACCAGGCACCAGCCCCGGAGCTCTGGCCTGGAAGACGCGACCAAAGGCGCCTTGTCCCAGGGATCTCACATATACTATTTCGCCACGTGGATACTCCAGCTTCTCGAGGCGCGCATTCTGTTTGGTGCCCTTCGACTCCTCCTTGGGAATGGTCGTGAGGGCCACGCAGTTGCTGTGCACGGTGGCTGTGCTCCTAATGGTGCCCCACTTGCCCAGGGTATTCGTGTTCCCATTGCCACCCAGGGTCTCCCGGCTGGTGTTTAAGTTTGCGGCACACTCTCCCATGCCCCGCATCGAAATGCTGCAGTCGTTGGTGGCTGCTCCCGCGGGCTGCGAGTAGTCTTTGTGCTTGGACAGCTTGTAGACAAGCAGGATCATCAGGTGCAGGGCCACAATGGTCACAAAACCAATGCCAGCCAGCAGGAAGATCATCGAGGGCGTAAAAAACTTCTCCATCTTGATGGGCGTGTTCAGGTCGCCGGCATTGGGGTCCACGTAGTCCGCTGGAGGAGTAACCAAGAAGGGATTAAGCTGGAATGATAGCTAATCGATGAACTTACGGCATAAAGGTATGTCGCAGTGCTGCCAGCGCACTGACTCGTCCACCGTGTAGCACCAGGGATGCGGTTCCTCGCCACCCGCGTTTCGGCAGTAGTTCTCCCCCTCCAGGAGCTGATGGAACACCAGAGGCGGTTGGATGTGCTTGTGCGGGTACTGAGTGTCCCAGCGTTGGCAGGGAATGCCCGACTTGGTCATGTTTGCGGTGCCCATGTAGAACCGTCCGTTACCATTGCGACAGTCGTCTGCAGAAGATTCGGTTCCTGGGTTAAAAGAGGCCCATTGATCTCTGGGTAGGTGTACTCACAGCTCACTTCTGACTCCTTGAGCTCGGTCAGGCCAATGTAGGAGCAATTGGGCCGTCGCATGGAGGCGTTGTAGTGCGGCAGGGCGGAACAGTTGGGAAGCCGGAAGTGGCCGCGGCTTTTGATAAAATTACCGCGTTCCTTCTTCTCCTCGATGAGCACCCAGTCGTTGTAGCAGAATTGCAGGTGCGTGGCCTGGCAGTCCTCGAAGCAAAGCGGAGCCTTGACGGCGCGGCCACCAGGACCCTCCAAGTGGCAGTTGGGGAAGGCATAGGCGCAGAGCATTTTCTGCAGGATCAGGTGTCAACATCTAGAACACAAAAGCACAGGCAAGACGCCACTCACCTCGGCAGCTTCGCGGCACAGGCCCGAAAGATCGGATATCAGCTCATCCCACAGCGCCGTGGTCACCTGCTCGTTCTTCCAGCCGCCCGTGGGATCCTCCAGGCTGTACCACACCTGGCCGGTGATGTACTGCTTGCACACCTTGCCATTGTACGGGGCACAGTAGCCGCTCTCCTCGCGCTGCTGCTGCTCTCGTTCCCGCTCGTGATGCCGCTGGTGGTGGCGCCGGGTGACGGGCTCCTCGATGGCGTTCAGGGAGCTTGCGTGCGTCGCACTGGTAAACAAGAGCACGCACAGCAATATGGCAGGCCAAGCGCCTGCCGTCCTGCCACCCACTGTCCCCTCAGGCACCCCCAACCACTGCCGGGCCGCCATGGCTGCTGGTGTTTTCTGTATATGCCTTGTTTTATTCTCAACCAACTCTAGCGGGAATTCTCACAAGCACTTGCAAAATCACTCATTTCACAGACGAATACTAAACTATACTCTCGGCCCGCATATAACCGATTTTAAGCAAGAATATTAACTAAAGTTAGTCGGTGAAATTTGTATTTATTTGCGCGCTCGCTGCTCAACGACGACGCCTTTTCACCGAATACCACACACAGTTTGGCGACGGACGGGAGGTTTTAGCCACCCATATTTATCCCTTAGGGGTGGTTTCCTGACACACACAAGAACAGGGTTGTTAAACGCGCGGCAAATGCCGAGAGTCCTTTATTCTGATTGGGAACTATAAGGCCGAAATGTTTACTGTTATTACTTTGTCGCCTTTTGCTTCTTTTCCTCTTCTTTCTGCTGTTTCTCCCTCAATTTTTCCTCTTTCTTACGTTTCTTCAAGAGCTCGGGATCGTCGTAGTCCCCGTCGCATTCCTGATTATCCTTCTGGTCCTCCTCTTCATCAGGAATTTGCTCGAGTCCCTAGAAAGAAATGGCTCTGTACACCGAGGGAGAAACTAAGAGGGAAACTACAGGAAAAACTCTACAAAGGCCACCAATTGAACTATCACTTTCGCACTAAACGCTTCGTTTATTCACTTTTGCCCTTAAGTTTAAAGAAAAATTTGACTTAATTCAAACTAGTTCTTTTTCTCATCCGGTATGGCATCCAGACCCTGCAAGGAAATCGAGAAGTCTTCTTTATAGAGGAGGTTGGTTCCAAAAGCTTAGACGATTAACATGCATTTTGGGTTAGTTTAAAACTACAATGGTAGTTTCTACTAGAAACCATAGAAAACAAAATCTAATGAAGTTTGGGAAGAAGTGAGATTTGATATCTTAGATAAGGAATGATGATAAAACATAAATATGAATAATCATGAAAGGTTAGTGTTACTACAATAAGAAATTCATATTTATTATAATGCAATCACTACAATAATATAAAATATATATAAAAAATGCCAATAACCTCGCCGAACTGATGATAATAAAATGTACTATATGAATAATTATCTTTTTTCTATATTTATAAATATACAAATAATAAGTATAATAGTATTTGGTTATGTAATCCCACCATTTTCACTTTATTAACAGATAATTGAATTATTAAACATTAATTTTCTTTAACGCACTTAACTCCTATTCCAATTTTCAAGAAGCTTATGGTGCCTTTGTGCTTGAAAATTTTTCAAGTATTTAAGCAGTGTTGGAAAGTTTCGACGAAAAAAAGAGATGGGCTAATGTTGGAAAATATTAAATGCGATGAATTATCGAAGTTTTAGTTGATATTAAAAATGACAATCATTAGTAGTCTATTTAATTTGGAGTGTTTAAGTTTAGTTGTTTTGTTTAGTGTTCGGAATGAACTGACGGTCGTCCCGCTCAACCGGAGGATCATCCTCCCTAAGCCTATGATCAAATCTAATATAAAATATGTCTAAATTTTAATTAAATTAACTTGATCAAAATTTCCGACCCATTTGAAAAATTTTAAGTATTGCATGCATTCCCATTGGTAATATAAACAATAATATGGGTTATTGCATTTAATGCGAATGAATAATTTTGGAGATGACTGTATGACAAAACAAACCAAAGCAGTACAAGAAATCAAAAACAAAAACGTGAAAGAGAAAACACCAATGCTGGCCAACTGTTGTTGAAATCTGGCCAAGAGATTAAAGTATAAAAGCATATCACTTACGTTCATCAAATAGGGATTGTCGGTCAGTCGGAAATCGCGCTGGTACATCACTCGGCTGAAGCGCTCGTCCATGTTGCGACGGAAGGCCTGCGGAGCATACGAAAAATATCAGAAACCGCGAAGAAATCTATCCGGCATCCAGGCACACTCCTGGCGACAAGTGCGTGGCGTAATTATGTTAAACAAAATCCGTTTAGTGCACAACCAACAGCGATTATATAAGAACTTCAGGCTGCTCGGCCAGAGGGCGACCATCAAACTCACATTGCCAATCGTGACCTTCTGCAGGCCGTACATGGCGTATATGGGCACCGACAGGAGTGTGGTGATGATCACGGCACCAGGTAGGATTTCGAACCACATCTTGATGGGAAAATAAGTTTTGTTATGATTTTTTCAACAAGACACCCAGACAGTGTGACCGCGTCGCGACCGTTTCAAATATCCCACGAAAAGGTGAAGTTTCAGGTGCCGATAAGTAATGGGCCAATGTGTTATCGGTCGCCTAGTGTTGGCAATGTAACAAGTCAAAAGTATCAGTGACCTGTTCACTTGGAACCTGTGACTAAACAGCTACACTTGCTGGGAAAACTATACGTATCACAATGCTTTGAAGCTTTGGCGTTAAAAAAAATGCTTTACCAAAAAACTAATAATATTTCGTACTCCTTTTATGTTACTTATTTACGTATACCGCTTATAGTTCCATATAATACAACACGTAAGCTTCGTACTAAACCCTGGTATACTACATTTAGCCGAATAGAAAAAATCAAAAAAATAGTCACCCGCTTATTTTTCAATCAAAGCCCAGTCTCAAGACCTGTTGTATTCTCATACATAAAATTTTATTATTTTAAACTACTGGACCTTTCATTTAAAAATCAACAATGCAGATGTATTCCAGTCATATAGCCGGTATTTTCGGCGTCGCTGGAATTACTGAAAATATATATTTTAGTATAGTATGGGTTTCTTTAATTGAATTATTATTATTATTGAAAAACAATTGCTACCAGAGCTATCTGCTCATCACTGCTGCAGTGTCAGCTATTTTTGCAAACGACTAAACGGTCACACTGAATCCCCCTTCGATTCTCCAAAAACAGCGAGCAGAAAAGAATTTGCAAAGTGTTCTGAGCGCAGCAACAACAACGAGAGCCACAAATCAGCGGAGAACAGGAGCATGAGTATGGCCACCAGCGGTATTGTCGAGTCATTTCCCACGGGCGCCCTGGTGCCCAAGGCCGAGACGGGGGTGCTGAACTTCCTGCAAAAGTATCCGGACTACGATGGCCGCGACGTCACCATAGCCATCTTCGACTCCGGTGTGGATCCTCGTGCAACGGGACTTGAGGTGAGTTGGCATTTTTTCGCAGCGCCAAGCGGTCGGCAGCTAATTGATTTCTCTGCTCGGATGCAGACGCTCTGCGATGGCAAGACGGTGAAGGTGATCGAGCGCTACGACTGCTCCGGTTGCGGCGACGTCGACATGAAGAAGAAGGTGACGCCCGACGAGAACGGCAACGTAAAGGGACTTTCCGGCAACACGCTCAAACTCAGTCAGGAGTTGTTGTCCTTAAACACGGATCCCGAAAAGACTGTCCGCGTGGGCCTTAAGAGCTTCAGCGATCTGGTGCCCAGTAAAGTGAGGAACAATATCGTTGCCCAGGCGAAGTTGAAGAACTGGGACAAGCCCCACAAGACAGCCACCGCGAACGTCAATCGCAAGATTGTCGATTTTGAGTCACAAAACCCAGGTGAGCCAACAACGCACTGACCCAGCTGCAACTGAGTAACCGAAAAATCCTTCCGCCAGGGGAAGCCTCGAAGCTGCCCTGGGACAAAAAGATCGTAAAGGAGAACCTAGACTTTGAACTAGAGATGCTCAACAGCTATGAGAAGATGTACGGCGACATTAAGACCTCCTACGACTGCCTCCTTTTTCCCACGGCCAACGGCTGGCTGACGATCATCGATACCACGGAGAAGGGCGATCTGGAGCAGGCCCTGCGCATCGGCGAGTACTCGCTCACGCACGAGACCCGCAATGTGGACGACTTCCTGTCCATATCCGTGAACGTGCACGACGAGGGCAATGTGCTGGAGGTGGTGGGCATGTGCTCGCCCCACGGTACCCACGTTGCCTCCATTGCCAGTGGTAATCACAGCTCACGGGACGTTGACGGAGTAGCTCCCAATGCCAAGATCGTATCGATGAGCATCGGAGATGGGCGTTTGGGGTCCATGGAGACCGGTACCTCCTTGGTGCGGGCCATGACCAAGGTGATGGAGCTGTGCCGCGACGGCAGGACCATCGACGTGATCAACATGAGCTACGGCGAGCATGCCAACTGGTCGAATTCCGGGTAAGCAAGTCTTGGCTTTGGTAACAGCTAATCCCAGAGTTGTGGCTGTCTTTTAGGGGATCGGGTGAAGTGCGTCGCAGACGAAAGAAGATGGGTGCGTCGAGGTAAATGACAGATATAAGATATCCGAAAACTCTCCACACACCAATCCTCTTGTCTCCGACACTCTCCAGCCGCCATCCAATCTCCAGCAAACACATCACTTCAAGCTGACGACAGAATTGGTCAAACTGTATCTTTAATGACTCCTTATCTCTCTCTCTAATCTCACGCAGCCGGATTGGGGAGCTGATGAACGAGGTAGTCAACAAGTACGGCGTTGTTTGGGTAGCCTCGGCCGGCAACCACGGTCCTGCTCTCTGCACCGTGGGCACTCCGCCGGACATCAGTCAGCCCAGTTTGATTGGAGTGGGTGCCTACGTGTCCCCCCAGATGATGGAGGCCGAGTATGCGATGCGAGAGAAGCTGCCCGGCAACGTCTACACCTGGACGTCGCGGGATCCCTGCATAGACGGCGGCCAGGGCGTGACAGTGTGCGCTCCAGGCGGAGCCATTGCGTCCGTTCCGCAATTCACCATGGCCAAGTCACAGCTGATGAATGGCACAAGCATGGCCGCACCCCATGTGGCCGGCGCCGTGGCGCTGCTCATCTCCGGGCTGAAGCAGCAGAATATCGAGTATTCGCCGTACAGTATTAAGCGAGCGCTCGGCGCCACAGCCACCAAGTTGGGCTACGTGGATCCCTTTGCCCAGGGCCATGGACTGTTGAATGTAGAGAAGGCCTTCGACCACCTGACGGAGCACAAGCAGTCAAAGGACAATATGCTAAGGTGACGGCGTTGATTCTTGAACTTTGGATACTCTTAACTAACCAACTAACTACTCCACCTCCTTAGGTTCTCAGTGCGCGTGGGCAACAACCAGGCTAAGGGCATCCACCTGCGCCAGGGCGTTCAGCGGAAGTTCGTCGATTACAATGTCAACATTGAGCCGGTCTTTTTGAACGACAAGGAGGCGGGTATGTAGGGAACCTCTGGTAGAATCTAGAATCTTGGCACTGAGCATTTCGTATTCCTTCGCTGCAGACCCCAAGGAAAAGTTTAACTTCAATGTGCGCCTGAATCTGATAGCCTCGCAGACCTGGGTGCAGTGCGGAGCCTTCCTGGATCTCAGCTACGGCACCCGTTCCATTGCGGTGCGCGTGGATCCAACTGGCCTGCAGCCGGGCGTGCACAGCGCCGTGTAAGAAGCTTCCATGTCGCGAACTATTTCCACTTAATTGGTGTTTCACTATTTCCCCACATAGAATTCAGGCCTTTGACACGGACTGCGTGCAGAAGGGATCTCTCTTTGAGATTCCCATTACTGTGGTCCAGCCGCATGTCCTGGAGTCGGAGCAGAACACTCCCATCTTCGAGCCCGCTTCCAAGACCGTGGAGTTTCAGCCGAACACCATCCAGAGGGACTTTATTCTCGTGCCAGAGCGTGCCACTTGGGCGGGTGAGTAGTCTGCGCCGCAAGATAACTTGGGATCCCTTCAATGACTCTTATTTTCTCCAGAGCTGCGCATGCGTGTCACCGATCCCAATCGCGGCAAGGACGTGGGCAAGTTCTTCGTGCACACGAACCAGCTGCTGCCCAAGCAGTCCTGCCTCAAGCTGGAGACCATGAAGATCGTGCCTGTGGGCTCGGAGCACGAGTTCACCACGGTTTTCAAGGTTAAGGTAAAGTGGATCTGCCATATATTCCGATCTTTTTAAACAGCAAACTTCCTTTTCGCAGGGTGGCAAGATTCTGGAGCTGTGCATTGCGAAGTACTGGTCCAACTTTGGGCAAAGTCACCTGAAGTACAGCCTGGTGTTTCGCGGCCTTGAGGCCCACAATCCAAATGCCTGTGAGTGGATTTAATACCTTGTTAAGTTTCTTTTAACTCACGGAATGGATCGGATCTCTTGTAGATGTCATGCATGCGGCTAGTGGCATTCACAAACTGGAAATCGAGGCCTTGGTGTCGGAGGACTTGCAGCCGCAGCTGCAGTTGAAGAACGCCGTCGTGGTGCTGAAGCCAAGCGAGGCCAAGATCTCGCCGCTGAGCGCCACCCGGGACGTGATACCAGACGGACGCCAGGTGTACCAGAACCTGTTGGTCTACAACCTGAACGTGGCCAAGCCGGCCGAGGTGTCCTTGTATGCCCCGATCTTCACTGACTTACTCTACGAGTCAGAGTTCGAGTCGCAGATGTGGATGCTGCACGATGCGAACAAGGCCCTTGTGGCCACCGGCGATGCCCATTCCCGCAACTTCTACACGAAGCTCGACAAGGGCGACTACACCATTCGCCTGCAGGTGCGCCACGAGAAGCGCGATCTGCTGGAGAAGATCTCGGAAGCCAATATGGTAGCCTCCTACAAGCTGGCCAATGTGCTCAGCCTCGACTTCCACGAGAACTACAACCAGTGCATTGTGGGTGGGCGTAAGTTTGTCTCTGCACCTATGAGAGGCGCCACCCGTGTGCTCTACATTGCCCCCATTGCCCAGGAGCGGCTCACAAAGGCCAATCTGCCTGCCCAGTGCTCCTGTCTGAGCGGCAACCTAATCTTTCCCCAGGACGAGGCTGGTCGTCGTGTGGCCCTGCATCCCTTCCACTATATCCTCAATCCCGCCGAGAAGAAGACGTCCACGAATGGCGCTAGCAACGGTTCCCCTCCGGCCGGCTCCACTGCAGCAGCTGCTGCCGCTGTCACTGCCAATGGCACTAAGCCGAAGGCCACTCCCCAGGCGGCCACATCTGTGGCTAATCCAGCGGCCGGTGATGGTGTCACTGTCCAGAACGATGCCCCGGTGGAGAGCGGTGCCTGCCCTGCCTCGCCCAAGAAGGGCAAAACCAACGCCGACGATTATGCAGAGAGCTTGCGTGACTTCCAGTGCTCGCACATCGTCAAGTGCGGTGAGTTTACCCGAAATCGAAGATGTTTATGCCACTTGACACCTTTGATTCCACCTTCTAGAACCCGAGATGGCCGAGAAGATCTACAACGAGGTGATTGGCGCCCATCCCAAGCACCTGCAGGCCCACTTGCTGCTCATCCAGAGCATTGAGACCACGCAGCTGAAGTCGCAGCTGCCGCTGACTTTTGCCAATGCCCAAAAGTCGTCGCCAGAGGAGGCAGGAGAGGGTTCCGATAAGCAGAAGGAGGAGCAAAAGAAGATGCGCGGCGCCCTTGAGCGCATTGTCAAGCTGGCCGAAAAGGTGATCCAGGAGACCGATTCCGAGGCGTTGCTTTCGTACTACGGCCTCAAGAACGATACTCGGCCCGATGCGGCCAAGATTAAGACGTAAGTAAAAGGTATTTGTTGGAAATTTATCAACTCAATTAACACTCTGAGGGTGTTCCACATTAGCACCATGGACAAGCAAAAGAATAATCTCATTGAGGCACTCAGCAAGAAGGGCATTGCCCTGGCCAAGCTGGCAGTGTTGGATGATAACGTCAAGGATCGTGTGGCCGACATCAACGACCTGTACACGGAGGTCATCAAGTTCGTCGACGCCACCGACTCCAAGGCCATTCAATTCGCCCTTTGGCACGCCTATGCCCATGCCCATTACGGGCGCATGTACAAGTGCGTGGTCAAGCTGATCGAGGAGAAGCGCGCCCGCGAGCACTTCGAGGAGCTGGCCGCCATCAACGCTGCCCTGGGTCACGAGCACATCCGGGCGGTCATCAATCGCATGATGATAACTGCTTTCCCCAGCAGCTTCCGTCTGTTCTAGACATTAGCCGTTCGACAGTAGCCACAATACTAATTATGCACGCTTCAATGCGATCATTGTTTTTTATATATACCGTACTCAATATGTAAATGAATAAAAGATATTAATTGAAAATGCTTCGAAATCGAACCTCATAAAGGGATAGTTTACGTAAACATTTTAGTTTAGACAAGAAATGGAAACTGTTTTTATACCCTTGCAGGGTACTGTCATTTTAGTCAACAGTTTGCAACGGAATGAAGGTGTATGGTCCGACCATATAAAGTATAAATATTCTTAATAAGCATTAACAGCAGAGTCGATCTAACATACAAGCAAAAAAATATTATTTTTTCTTTTCTATGAAAAATTTTATGTTATTAAAGTTAAAATTATTTTGAAACAAGAAAGGAAGCTAACTTCGGCACGCCGAAGTTTGTATACCCTTGCAGATTGGTTTTCATATTTATATTATAAATAATAATGCCGAAAACAGACACTTAACAGAGTTTCATAACATTTTACCTATACTTATTATGTTTACAGTTTGACAGTTACAGTTATACATTCACAGCTTTACATTTTCTCAACATCTACGGATCGCTTCTATGGCAGCTATATGATATAGTTGTCCGATTTTCAAATTATTGTTCCCAAAATTCTGAAATAATACTAAAAGCTCATGTCTCTAAGTAGATAAAAATACGTTGAAAAACAACGAAGTTCTAATTTTTTCTTTTACTTTCCCTATCGTTCCTATGGCAGCTATAAGATATAGTCGTTAGATTTTCATAAAATTTATACCAAAATTCTGAAATAATACCAGAAGCTCATGTCTTAAAGTAGATTAAAATACGTTGAAAAACAACGAAGTTATAATTTTTTTCGATTAATTTTCCGATCGTTCCTATGGCAGCTATATGATATAGTCGTCCGATTTTCATAAAATTTTTACCAAAATTCTGGAATATTATAAAATGGCTATATCTCAAAAATGATTCAATAATATTGAAAAACAGCCAAGTTATAATTTTTTTTCTAAAAGTTTATCGAACATTTGTATGGCAGCTATATGATATAGTCGTCCGATCCGGCCCTTTCCGACATATATAGCAGTGAGAGTATATAGAAGACTATATGCAAAGTTTCATTCAGATAGCTTTAAAACTGACGGACTAGTTTGCGTAGAAACGGACAGACGGACAGACGGACAGACGGACATGGCTAGATCGACTCGGCTGTTGATGCTGATCAAGAATATATATACTTTATGGGGTCGGAAACGTCTCCTTCACTGCGTTGCAAACTTCTGACTGAAATTATAATACCCTGCAAGGGTATAAAAATACAAAACTTTGCCTTAAAATTTGAATTGTTGACCTGGAGAAAAACTAGCACAGAAAAGCTATTCAAATTGAGCTTGATGTTTTTTTCGACTGAGACCTCATATTTTTAAGCTCCGCCTTTTCAAAAAATTAACATTAAGAATATGGAAAAAATCCATTTAAAGACCATTGACCAACTTCAACAGGTGAGTCTTTCTAGCCATGCCGGGAAGAAAAAAAAAAACACTTAATTTTTGTCCCCCTAAAATTTAATAAAAATGTCAAAAATTAAAAACAAAAATTTTATATCTTAAAATTAATTAACTTAATTAAATAATACAAATTAACACAGAACCGCTTTCAGAATTGAAATGAACGCACAAATTGTATAATTCAAATGTATACAAAATTGTCTGGAAATTGCTTCAATCGTTTGTTCTGTTGTTCTTTTTTGTTTTTTTTTTGTTAAGAAAGAATGAAAATGATAACAAGAAAGGAAGCTAAATTCGGCACGCCGAAGTTTGTATACCCTTGCAGATATTATTTCATTAAATTTTACCTATACTTATTATGTTGAGAGTTTGACAGTTACAGCTTTACATTCCCAGTTTTACATTTTCTCTACTTCTGCCGATCGGTTTATATGGCAGCTATATGATATAGTTGTCCGATTTTCATGAAATTTATACCAAAATTTTGAACTAATAAAATTAGCTTACATCTCATAGAAGATAAAAATAGGTTGAAAAACAACGAAGTTATAATTATTTTCTATTAATTTCTCGACTGTTCCTATGGCAGCTATATCATATATTCGTCCGATTTTCATAAAATTTTTACCAAAATTCTGGAATAATATAGAATGGCAATATCTAAAAAATGGTGCAAAAATGTTGAAAAACAGCAAAGTTATAATTTTTTTTCTAAAAATTTATCGAACATTTGTATGGCAGCTATATGATATAGTCGTCCGATCCGGCCCGTTCCGACATATATAGCAGTGAGAGTATATAGTAGACTATATGCAAAGTTTCATTCAGATAGCTTTAAAACTGAGGGACTAGTTTGCGTAGAAACGGACGGACAGACGGACGGACAGACGGACAGACGGACATGGTTAGATCGACTCGGCTGTTGATGCTGATCAATAATATATATACTTTATAGGGTCGGAAAGGTCTCCTTCACTGCGTTGCAAACTTCTGACTGAAATTATAATACCCTGCAAGGGTATAAAGATTAATTTGGATTAACGCTGTGGCCAGCCGGCAATATAGGAATAAAAGAATTGTTCATTGAGATTTGTAAAAGTCTCGGCTATAGGTTGAAAACTTAATCGATACTGGAACATTTATATCTCCGACCCAAAACTATAGCAAAAATAAGATTCAAAGAAAATATAACGGTAGCACCTGAGGTCCTCATTTGTGGATCTTTTTAAATATTGAAAAGATTAAGCTTTCATTTAACCCTTATATCTTCTCTGGCATACGACTTTGAAAAGCCGTTTTTCATAGTTTGACCGCGATTTTCTGAAAACTAAAGAAAACCAAAACTCAGTCGCAGTCGCAGACAAGCCGTTTTCAGTTGGGAACTGCCCGCTCCGCTATGTTCTTATGTTGCCGACCACGAAGCAGTCACTGCTAGACATAGACTGCTTGGATTATATGACATAGGTAATTAAATTACCGTAATTTCGTATTGCCGAGTGCCGATCTGGGCTTAATGAAACAACATTGACAATTTTACCGGTGATTAAAAAAAAAAAATGTTTAAAACAAAATAACATTTTTATACCCTGGCAGGGTATTATAATTATAATTTTTGTAAACAATTTTCAACGTAGAGAAGGAGACGGTTCCGAACCAATAAAGTTTATTTATTATTGACAAGTATCAACAGCCGAGTCGGTCTAGCCCATGTCCATCGGAATTGAATCTTTGCAGAAAGTTTTCTGACTATTCTCATTACTATATACATATGTATCTTATATATGCCGTAGGAACAATGGGGAAAAAAATTGTTACTGTTTTTCAACATACTTTCCTCTATGGTTATAGATATGGTTATTTTGTATTTCAGAATTTCAATTTTATTTGTATATTATTAATTATATAGCTGACATAGGAACGATCAGTCAATTAATAAAAAATTCGACATGTTTTTATCTAGTTTGAGATATGAAGATTTTGTATTATTTCAGAAATACGGTTTTAATTTTATGAAAATCGGACGATTTTATCATATAGAATCGTTCGTCAGATGTACACAAAAGTCTAAAGCTGTGAATGTAGACTGTAACTTTAAACCTTTAAAAATACAAAATATATAATTGTGAAAACTGCCAGTTAGCTTTCTTTCTTGGTTTCTTTAAATTTATTCTAATTCCTTAATGTCTTATTTATTAAACAGGGAAGTCTGGAAACATTTTATAGCTTATTTTAGAGATATGTAAATATGTATTGTTGTTAATTAAAAACAAAGTTAAATTTGTTGTAAACTTCTTTAAATAAGAAATGTTTTTACCATAAAATTTGCATAAAATTATTTTGAATGGGGGCTTCGATTACATGAAAACAATCGATTGTGCAGAACATTCGATTTTGCCTGTTAAGCTCTCATTAACAGAAAATGCTGTTACAACTCTGTTACTCTCATCTGTGACCGAGGTTGTAGTATCAGGTGTGGTTCGTGTGTCAAATGTGGATTTTTTTGGAAGATGTCACTTTTGAGATTTTTAGGAAAGATTAGCACTGGCCACACTGCGAAATTGGACGACAAATACATCGACGACGAAGCCCAGAGTAAAAATAATAACAAAATACAATGCAGACGCACAGGCGAGAGTAAAATGGGTAAGTTTGACAGAAAAAATGCACTTGATAGGCGGAAAACTGCCTAATTAGACTGCGCAATGAGTGAACTTACCGGTGTCGATTGAAAAACCAGTGAAAAGCGTGCTAAGAATGGCTTTTCCTGCAACGTAGTTTTCGCTGTTTTCCTGTGCAGTGCGTGCGCGTCTGTGTGTGTGTTGAGTGTATGTATTGGCCGATCGATTTTATTTTGCATATTCAAGGACAAGCGTAGTCCTGCGGGAAAGTGCCGTTAATGCACCGACCGGGGCGGAGCCGGAAAATTCCAGGCGATATTTTGCATCCGGCATTGGTGACTCAAAATGCAAAACCCCGGGGCCACTATCAGCTCCGCAATCTCTGTATTCCCGTACCCTGTGTCAACTCCGAAGCGGAGCGAAGAGGACAAACAATGGATGACAAATGCGGGTGCAGCAGCAGAAACAACAAAAACAACAACCCCGAGTTTTGTGTCAATGTGCTCACGTACTCCTGCCTGCGCGTGTGTGTGTGTTTGTGTGGGACGGCAACTTTTAGGTATGCAGGAGGTGTACACATGTGTGCGCGAGTGTGTGTCTTATTTTATTTTCTTAAAATTTTGGAAAATAAAAAGATCGAAAGAATCTCCGCCAGAGATGCCTGCCTGCGTTGGCGGATCGATCGTTAAAGAAGTTATTTATTGCCTAGGGTATTCCCCCTTTCCCACACTCCCATTGAGATGCCCCTTCCCACATCCCACAGCCCACAGCCACGGCATTCTCTGCCAGACGCCAGAAAGAACATCAAAGATAAGGGCCCCGGGATTTGTTTTTTGTGTGGTCTCGCTTTTATATAGTATACTTAATGTGTTTATTTATATATACATGTACCTCTCCTTGCTTTCAGAGTATCCACAAATTGATTTATACGAATTCCTCACGGAGTCCGAGCTGCAACAGTACTACAATGCCGTCAAGTGAGTGACCTAAAAAGCGGAAACCGCCCGCCACTCGTCCGCTCTTCTCTACTTTTCTACTTTTCCACTTTTTTTTTTTTTTTTAATTTTCCCCACGCAGAAACGAATTGAAAATAACGAACGCGGCGCAGTTCAAGTATGCGGCGGACGAGGATTTGCGCTTCATCGGCCTGTCGCGGCCGGAAATCCGGCGGTTGCGCAAGTTCTACGAGAAGCACTTCCCCCACAGCTACCTCAGCAAGATCAAGCGTCTGCTGCAGGCGCCCGGCACGATGGTAAAGCGGGAGGAAGCTCCCGGAAGCGGGACTCAAGTGGCCGCCGATGGCAGTGGTGCCGCCGCAGGCACATCGCTGGCCGTCAAGAACGGGGCCAGTTCGCCGAGCAAGGTGCCCAACAACAAGCACATCATTCCGGCGGACTCGATCAGCGTGAACAAGCAGCTGGGCACAGGCGAGTTCGGCATCGTCCAGCAGGGCGTCTGGACCAATGGCAGCGAGAGGGTGAGTCCGTAGGAGACCTCTCAGAGCCTTTCCCTCATGAATGCCCACTTATCCCTTTTTTTTTTTTTTTTGTTGTAGATCCAAGTGGCCATCAAGTGCCTCTGCCGCGAGCGCATGCAGTCGAATCCAATGGAGTTCCTGAAGGAAGCGGCCATTATGCATTCCATCGAGCACGAGAACATCGTGCGGCTGTACGGTGTCGTCCTGGCCACGGACTCGCTCATGCTGGTCACCGAGCTGGCCCACCTGCGCTCGCTGCTTGAGTGCCTCAAGGACTCCGGGCTGCGGGTCAGTTTCCTCACCATACCCACTCTCTGCGAGTTCGCCCTGCAGATCTGCAATGGAATGCGGTATCTGGAGCAGAAGCGCCTGATCCATCGGGACTTGGCGGCACGGAACATCCTAGTGTTCAGCAAGGACAAGGTTAAGATCTCGGACTTTGGCCTCTCGCGGGCCCTGGGCGTGGGCAAGGACTACTACAAGACAAACTTCAATGTGAACCTTAAGCTGCCGATTGCGTGGTGTGCGCCCGAGTGCATCAACTACCTGCGCTTCACCAACGCCTCTGATGTGTGGGCCTACGGCGTCTGCCTGTGGGAGATGTTCTCCTACGGCTTCCAGCCCTGGGCCGCGCTCACCGGCCTCCAGATACTAGAGGCCATCGACTCGCCCAACTACCAGCGTCTGGAGCAGCCCGACTGCTGCCCCAGCGAGTACTACACCCTGATGATGAAGTGCTGGCAGGACGATGCCGCCAAGCGGCCGCGTTTCGGTGAGATCTATGACCAGCTGCCCGACATGAAGCCGGAGCAGCTCAAGGCGGTGGTCAACTGTGCGGAGCCCAAGAAAGACCACCTGCTGTACCGCCAGGGCGACATTATCAGTGTCCTGGACCGCAACACGGGCACGCCCTTCTGGAAAGGAGTGCTCAGCACTGGAAAGACGGGCTACTTCAACCCCTCCAACACGGTGGCCTTCCTCGAAGGCTTGCCCAGCTCCAGCCGGGACTCGTTCAGCCGGGCGAGTGACCACCGGAGTAGCAAGCGCAAGCTGCGCACGGAGATGATATCGAAGCCGCAGAACGACTTCAAGCACACCGGCCACGTGGGCATAGACGGTGCCACCTTTGGCGACATCGCCTTCCTCGGCAGCTCCCAGAATGTAAGAGTATCCGGTCCACAGAGCTTCACATTTCCCTGCTAATTGTTCATCTACTTCCCCCCTAGTACAATCACGTGCCCAAGCAGATAGTGACGCCCTACAAGCCCTCGGAGGACATTGAGCAGACGCCTCTCCTGCTCCCCCCGACACCCACGAGTCCGGATTCGTTGCAAACGGCCAGTGGCTACTTCCCAGAGGGCGGAGGCGGTGCCATGGGCACTTCCATGAACCCTACCTTCATTCCATCCGCCGAGCACACGCCCAAGCTGATAGCCACCAACGGCCAAAGCTCCTTCGACTTCGCCACGGGGGGCTCCACCAATCCGTTCTTCCTCAACCGCGGGGAGGATGAACAGCTGGAGTTTGCCCTGCACAACAATAACTACGGGGGGGATGGCAAGAGCCTGCACTCGAGCGAGGCAGGGTGGCGCCCTGCCTCTCGGAGTGTGGCGGATGATCCGCACGAGTACCACGAGATATCGGATGACGAGATGGTGGCCGACAAGCTGGACTTTGGGCCGTCGCTGCTGGACGAGATTAACTCCATGTTCGGGTCGATCAGCGGGGCCTCGGGAAGCCAGCCGAAGTCGCCGGGGTTCGACCATGTGAACAGCAAGAACGAGTTTGCGGAAATGTCGGCCAAACTGGGCCAGAAGAGCGGCGACACCAATGGCAACAGTAAGCACGGCCATGGACTGTTGCCGACGCTCTCGAAGAAGAAGACCTCGGGCACCGTGAAGCCCATTTCGGTCAAGGATGAGAAGATTCTCAATCACGCCATCGAGATTGCCAACGAGATAAGCGCCAGGTGAGCTAGTGCCTCCACCCTGGATCGAGTACATAAAGTTGACTCCGATTTCCTTCGCATTTTAGGTCGATGATTGATCTGGTCTCTGACCAGACGCCCGCCATCCACAGTCCCAAGCGCAAGTTCAGCTTCAGGTTTCCGCATTTGAGCAACAGCAGCGGAGGGGACAAGGCGGGAGCCATGGGAAGCGGCGGTGCCAGCGGATCGGCCCACACACCCACCCACGGCAACGCCTCGCCCTTTTCCAAAAAGAAGAACTTCACGGAGGAGCTGCAGAGCATTCCCGACATACAGGTGAGCAGCGACTCCATTGGCTAGATCCCTTGGCTTTCCCGTAGCACTAGGTCATCGATTCTTGGCCGTGACAGATTCTAATCCTCGAGTTTTGTCTACACTCTGCTCTTTCTCCTACTTGTTCGTACATCGTTGCCCCCTCATTTCCCCCGTTTTGTGTTTGCGTTTGGCCTTTCCGTTTTCCGTTTTTTCGGTTATTTTCTCGTTTACCACCCTCATCCGATCGATGGATCGTGCAGCGTTTCCGCTCGCTGAGCGAGATCAAGAACAGCACGGACCTGCGTGTGCCCATTTTCGACAAGGAGAGCTCCGACTTCCTGTTCCAGAAATCGCGCGAGATCCTCAGCAGACCGCTGAACCTGGAACGGGAGCGGGCTACGGAGGAGGAGCACCCGCAGAAGAGCATCGACGACAACATCATGGACATTGAAAACACCCTAAAGGCGCTCAATCTGGACTTTATGCACACGTACACGGAGCTGGACAAGAGTGACTCCAACGACACGATCCTCAACGACCAGCTGCCGCAGCTTGTGAGCCTGGATGACGGCATAAGCAGTGCCACGGGAAGCCTCAAGTCGGCCGTTTACAGCTACAGCAACGGGGTCCAGACCATGTTTGATTTCAATGCGGCCACCAGTCACCTGGACAAGCATCTGCAGTACATGCACAACCAGGCGCAGCTGAGCGCCCCCGCTCCTGCGGATCCCAAGCCCATGGAGGACAAGCGCTCAAGCACCCCGGACACGGGGTTCGCCTCGCGGGATACCAACATCTCGCTGTCGCGCCGCAGCAGCCAAAAGTCCAGCTACAGTCCCCAGGAGAGCTTCCACTTCCCCCTCAAGGGCGAGGCCCTGTTCAGCGCCCCGCCTGTGGTCATGACGGGCGGCTATACCAGTCTCAAGGATGAGTTGGCGTACGAGAGATTTGGAAACGGAGCCACCAAGCAGATGCTAGCAAGCGCTTCGCCCATCAAGTCGGGATTGAATGCCAGCAGCGGCTCGGTGTACATGGGATCCAAGGGATACCGCCAACGCTCGACCTCCTTCAACGAGAGCTTCCACCCCATCTCGCCGGTTCTCTCGGAGCCACAGCGGGAGCGCGGTGTGATCCAGCGGCAGGTGAGGCTGGAGCATCAGGCGCCTCTGCCACGGCGCTCCGCCTCCTATAAGCCCCGTTCCATTCGAGCGCGAACCCTGCGGCGACTGAGCTACAATCCCATGACCCTGGACTCGAGTTCCTCCAGCGGCGAGGAGCCAGTCAAGCCCAGTCTGGCCCGCTCCGAGTGCGATATCCGGGCCAGGGTGGCGGCCAGCTCGAATGCCTCGTTGGGCAGGCGCCGCCGAGCGGGATTGAACCGCCAGGTGCAGTCCGCCTGCCATGACGAGCGCGAGGCCGTTATTTCACCTCGCCAGATCTATGGCTCCAACTCGAGCATCAAGTCGGCGCCGCACTACAATCTCGGCGGGCAGCGTCGCAGCTTCCACCGCGGAGGGGGTGGCGTGCCGGGCGGTGGCTACGAGCAGTTCCAATACGACGAGCGGATCTACGACTTCGGGGGACGCGGACCGGGCAACAACTACAACATGGCGCACGCCAGTTATCTGAGCACCACTCAGAAGCCGAGCTACATCTTGAACGGCGCCGAAATGCCCGGCTCCGGATCGGGTTCATCTTCGGCAGCCTCGTCGGCTGTACAGCAGGCCACCTACAGGCCGGACGGTGGCACGGCCTTGCAGCGGCCCATGAGTGGTGGAGCCGCCCTGCACGAGTTCGACATAAGCCGGCTGACGGGAAAGAGTCCCACGTCCACCAATTTTGTGGGCAGTTCGCCCGAGGAGCTTAAGCAGCGCCAGCTCTCCATGGGCTCCCTGCTGACGCCGACTGGCAAAATGGCAAAGCCAAAGCGCCCCACGGAGTTCCACTGGCCGGAGAAAATACACGCCTCGGCGGTGAAGCAGCACGAGATGCACTGGCGGCAGATGCAGCACCAGCAGCAGCCTCAGCACCATCAGCAACAGCTTGCCACGGCCGTGATTATCAGTGCCGGCGCGGCTGGAGGAGCTGTGGCAGCCAGAAGGTCCAGCGATAGCTCCTCCTCTTCCAGCACCGAGAGTGGCGATGAGTTTCAGTTCCGGCGCGAGTTCGTAGCACCGCGAATCCCGCCTAGTCCGGCTCCATAACTAAGGAAAATGCTGAAATACGTTCTCAATTTACTGTTCGGCAATGTGATGTCCGATTAGAGGATGATCGGAAGGCAGGACGACCCAAAGAGTGTGGCGGAGAGATAGGAATTTGACCCGGAATACCATGGCCAGGAATGGACGCTCCACCGTGGCGGGGCTGTGTTTGTGCTAGCTAGTGTCTGTGTGTGTTTGAGAGAGGGAAAGGAGTGTTTGAGCGGAGGAGGAGTCTGTTGGACGTCGAAGAGTAAATTGTAGAAGTATTTACAGCGAATAGATTATATATATTTTTTGGATTTGCATTTTTTGAAACGAGATGAGAGTGTGTGCCTTATAGGAAAAACACCGAAGACCTCTCAGAACAGATAATAATGATGTGCAGACGATCAGCTGCATAGCTTCCAAAATCCATTCATCCACTTAATAGCTCATAGCTCCTCATCATCATTATGAACTCTCTTTGATTGGGTTTCTGTTTTTAATTCGATTAAATTTTGCATAATAGGAATTAGAGCTGTAAATAAAATCGATTCTATAGTTGATAAATTGATTTTTAAATTGAGCGATCGATATACATTTTCAGAGTCGATTTAATCGAAAAAGTTTAGTAAAGAGTTGAAAATTTTGATTTATTATTTTATATTATAATTTGTGCTCGTTTAGGAATCCCGAAACTCTGGAATTTGGTATTCTGGATTTCAATGGCTGAAAGTAGTGCTGGAACAAACATCGATGTTTATTCGATACAATCGATGTTTCAACAAAATCGGCCAACATCGATGTTCACTTGTCAAACATCGATTATTTTCAACTGTCACTTAAAAACCGAGCAAGAAGGCAGAATTGGCATACTAGATCAAAAATTTGTTTATACATCGAATCGAATCACTGAAAATCAATTTATTTCAAGCTCTAAAATGCATTGTTTTTCAAAGACTAGTTTAAAAACGTGTTTCGACTTTATCGTTCTACGAAACGCAATACCAATTAGAATCGAAACTTAAAGCGGAACTATGTCTGAAATTTTATCTGCAACTCTCAAACAGGAAATACTCACTCCACTCAGTAGCCTACAAATCATATACAACTAGAAATTCAAATACAAACTTTAAAAGGAAATATTACAAAGATAACAAAGAGATAATGGCTTCCACAAACGGAATATAGAATGTTCAAGAATTTTTTAATACAGAAATATAAACCCAGAAGAACTCGTAGCTTGTCGAAAACAGTATGTCAACACAAACACCACACACTTATTAGGGGGACTCCAACTAGACAGGGTATTTCCTATTGGCCATTACCATGGCGGTAATTATAAGTCACACACAGACACAAGGAACCTAAAGACTGTATAAGAACAAGATGCTAAACGCCAATACATTTGAATTGACATATGAAAGCTCTACAATGTTAGCTTGCTTTTGAACAAAATCTTCAAGAAAGCCTAAATCCAGCTCTAGAGCCAGATAAATCCTAGTACAAAAAGAAGAACGGCGTTACTCATCTTGTTATTCTAAAGCCTTTGAAGAAACTACAAGGACAGACAGAGACAGACACAGACACACACCCACAACAGTTGACAATCCTCAGAACTTGTCCACACACATCAGAAGACAACATTCGTCGTCGGATCAAGAATCCCGTACATATGCAAATGGATTATCTGCCATATCCTGAGACGCTTGCATTTTTATTATTGAGCCCGAGGCTAGGGTGAAGCTAAAGTGAAACATGAAACCAAACGATACCGAAACCAAGATAAGCATTTAAGCTCTCACTTCAGCTAGAGTGTCGAACCGAACCCTATGGATTATCTGATAAGATTTGAGATTGAAGAGTATTTGCCTACTAACCTAAAAAACGTAAACCTAAGACCTAAAAGCCCCAAACCTAACATTAAAAAACCCAAAAAACTTAACCAAACAAAAGCTAAAACTAAAAATTAACTCAAATCGAATTGCCGACGGCCGCAAAGTGTCGAAACATTTTTTGATAACCTCACTAAGAATATATATATTATACTATAAAGAATATACTTATACTAAAAGATTTTCGCATTCTATGCATTTATGGATAAACTCAAATTGAAATTACGATATACAGATTATATATATACACCTACTTAAATCTAAACCTAATTCTATGTATACAAGTATAAGCATTACGGAAAATGATATTCTAAACTATACGTTCGAAGCGTTTCAACCCAGAGAACATTAAAAAGCTAATTGAAAACCAAAATTTACTCAAGTATTATACAAGAAACAAGCCCCAAAAACTAAGGAACTAAAAGAACTAACATCCAAACTAAACTAAATTCAAACTAAGATAACAACACCTATTTGAAGTGGCGAAAATCGAGAAGAGTTTGCATTCCAAGAACCAAAAAACAAACGAGTTAAAATTGGTAATCAAAAACCTAAGAAAATGTTGTGCATATTTAAAGGGATTTAATAAAGGAAACCTAATTCTGAATTTCAATGGTGGGTGCTGCTTTTGGGACTGATAAGGGAAACTTTCTTACTGCTTTTGTATTTATTATCTGCCCCTGATTATTTCGTATTTGTTTCGTCCTTCCCATCCGCCGTTTTCATTTTGTACAATTTCATTTCCCTTCACTTTATTTCTCCTCCGGCGCCCCGTTGCAGTCGCTGATAGGCAAGGAGGGACTGGAGGCCTACAACAGCCTGATCGAGCGCAAGGCCCTGCTGGACATCGGACCCAGTCCGGCAGCCACGCTGCTCCGCCACCTGGACACTGACGAGTTCGACCTGCAGAGCCTGCACCAGTCGCAGCGGCCCATGACCTTGCCCACGCGAGGCGCCGCCCAGCGGGTGCGCAAGGCGGAACTGGCCGCCACCTTGAGTCGCCACAACGACGAGAACTCCAATTCGCTGGAGGCCTGCGAAAGTCCCAGCTACATGACCCACGGCAGCTACAAGTTTCCGGACGCACCTCAGCAGTCGGAGCCGCAAGAACCACAACAGCCACTTCCTGAGCCGGAGTCGCCCAATCCCATTCCCCTGCCGCCGCGCGAGGGCAAGAAGCAGGTGAAGAACAGCACCAAACGACATGTGCGCAAGTATCCGCTGATTATACCGGCCAACGGCCTGCAGCGAACTCTTAGCAAGCTGGCGGACTTTGGAGAGGAGACGGGAAAGAGCATTGACTCCTCTTCCTCTTCCTGCTCCCAACAGCCGCAACCAGGTCGCGCCATCGAGGTGGTGGCCGCAGTACGACCCAGTAGCATGCGACGCCCGTCGCGTCCCCCGGAACGGGAGTACGCAAATATGCCGGCTGTGGGCAGTGAACCCTCGCACACCTACCAGAACCTGGACAAGCTTGCGCCGGCAGATGCTGCCGGGCTCACGGACACCGCATCCCTGCAGTTCGAGTCCATTTTGGAGGCGGATTCCAGCAAGGAGGGCATTCTACAATCACCAGATGTGACCGACGGCTTCTACAATTTTTCCATTCAAAAGGAGCACTACCACAAGGGCAAGGATGTCGAGTTCGAGGCCACCCAGATCTCGGGTCTGTATGTAAACGACGATGAGCTGCGCAACCTGGACATGGAGAGCAGTCGCAAAACATCCACTGCGGCAAGCAGTTGCAGTGCATTGGAGCCAGAGGTGGCGCCCAATCAGGAGACACAGCCCCTGGCCGAAGCTGTCGCCGAGGAGGCGAGTCGTCGCTTCTCCAGCGTGGACAATGAGCTGGCGGGAAACGCATTGTTCAAAAAGGTACGCGCCTCCGTCAATCTGGCCATGAATCGCAACTCAATGGCGGACTCGAGTCCGAGCACCAGCCAAGCTGGCGGAGGAGCTCCAGCGAAGCCGCAAACGGAAGCAGAGTATTTTGCAGCCACAGCCGCTCGTCTGGCGGACTCGAATTCGGTGAGCTGCGAGGACCTGTTGGAGTTCTCCGACAAGAAGCCCAAGGGCTGCGAGCGGGGCGTTGATTCCGATGAAGTCCGCATCATGGTGAAAGTGCTGGGAAAGGACGTAAGTCTACACACAATCTATATTAAAATAATGAAGATTAAAAACCAGCGATCGTAACAAATATAATTTTATTATAAAAATTTAATAGTTAATTTCTTATTTGAAAAACAAAAAAAAATACGTTAATTTTTATAAGGGACCGTAATTATTACAAGTGAAAAAATAAAAATCAATGCCTATGATTATTTATTCATTATAAAATAATTTGCTTACAATTAATAGTTATAATTTTATTTTTATTTAATAGCTTAAAAAATATATTTTTTTTATTTTAAAAAAAAAAAATTAAATAAAAAAAAGAAATTTTTTTTTTAAATAATAATCATTAAAGATTACTTTTTATTTTTAAACTTATAATAATTACGGTCCGTGATTAAAAATTAAAATAAATTATTTTCCAATAAGAAATTAAATATAATTTTTATTATAAAAATTATGAATCATCATTTTTTCATGTTTTTTCGGTTCGTATGTTTTCACTTTATAATCCTTTTCCGTTTTTAATATTCTTTTTTAATACAAAAAATATAATTATTGTTTTATTATATTAAATAAAAGTTGAGTAATAACCTTTATTTGTAATTTTAAATTAATAATAAAAAATATAATTGAAAAATTATTTTCAATCAATATTTATTTATTTTTATTTTTAAATTACAAATTAGAGTTATTACTCAATTTTATATACAAATTATATTAATTTTGTTTGTTTATTAAAATGGAAAAGTAAATGTTGAAAACCAATTAATAATTAAAAATTGTTTATAAAAATGTATCTTGTTTCTGAAAAGTCCTTCAAAAAATATTGTATACATAATTTTGTAGTCATACCAGCTCAATTTTTATACCCTTGCAGGGTATTATAATTTCAGTCAGAAGTTTGCAACGCAGTGAAGGACACGTTTCCGACCCTATAAAGTATATATATTCTTTATCAGCATCAACAGGGGAATCTTTCTAGATATTTCAGGAAGAAATCGATTTTTTTTGCCATTTTTGAAAATTTGATAAGGGGTTACATCATTAAAATTTTTGATTTTGATAAAAAATTGAATTTTCAAAATTTTTAAATGAAGTATGCAGATTTATTAACTGTAGAAAATCTTGCACAGAACAGTTTTCCGATTTAAAATTAATGCTCTTTTGGCCGAGTTATGATATTTTTAATTTAAAAAAAAATCAACAAGTTTTTTAATATAAAAAATCAGATTTTATAATACAAAATAATATTTTTCTAAGTCAAGGAATCATTTCCGACCCCATAAACCATATATATTCTTGATCAGCATTAACATGCGAATCTTTCTAGACGTGTCCGGAAGAAATCGATTTTTTGGCCATTTTTGCGAAATTTCATAAGGGGTTACATCATTAAAATTAGCAAAAATGACCAAAAATTTTGATTTCTTAAAATTTTTAATTTGGTATGCAGTTTTTTTAAATTAATAAAAACTAACACTAAACTGCTTTCCGAATCGAAATTAATGCATTTTTGGCTTAGTTATGATATATTTTAATTGTTACCTGCAAGGGTATACAAACTTTGGCTGGCCAAAGTTAGCTTTCTTTCTTGTTTGGTATACATTTTTAATTTGTGACTCTTGCTAAAAACATGTAAAACTTGCTTTCCTCAGAGCACCCCCAATCGCTGTCTCGGAGCCTTGGAGTTCATCAACTGGGACGTCCACAAGTCCATCAAGCTCATCAAGCTGCAGAATCTGGTTAGCGAGGCGAATCTCAGTCTGGAAGCCTCGTTCGAGGCCCTGCAGCAGCACGAATGGGATCTGCACACGACGGCCCACAAACTGAATGGCCTTAAACTTTAAGAATACTTCTCCTAGCAGCGGCCGCAGCTCCCTCGGCTCTCCACTTCAGTCACCCTGAACTGCTTTAAACGACCTGCGTTGCCTTAAACTCGTAACTATCGTTTCTAATTCGTGTAGGCTAAGCTTTTCGGATAGACCTAAGAACTCGTACGTAACTCGAACCTAACGTAATCACTGCTCGCCAGCCATCGGCTTCATTCGTATCGATCGGAATCTCAGCATGTACTTATTCACGCATGCTTCCCAGCATCAAAATACACACACTTATACACAATTATACAGATCTTTTTGAATAAATTATAAACTTTTTTATAACCCTTTGGTTTTTTCTTGAACGAGATTGAATTGAATATGGGATTCAGCTTTTAGTTTTTAGAAAAACGGCTCTCTCAAACGCTGCCCTTATGTATGCTAACCTTGTGAGATGTTCGGATACATTATAATTATGTAGAGGGAGGAGTTTAGGAGGAGATTGTGATATCAAATACGTTTTTTCGATTACACAGGCTGACAAAATTTGAAAAAATCGCAAAACCAAGAACCTGAATATAATTTACCGAGGGTTTTTAATGGTCTAAGAATATTTCCTATAAGTCTTGTTTTTAAAATTTTTCATCTTAAAGTGCAACAAATACGGGGTTTGGGCACTTTTGAGGTGCAATTAATTCATAAAGTTCTGATCTTGGACTTAAAAATCTGTTTTTAAAATTAAAAAAAATCTATTTGGATATTTCGTCTTTTGAATTTCGGTATTTTTCCATATATGTTGTCAAGTTCGTCGTACTCAGAAATATATGAAAAAATATTAATATAAATTCAAGAGAGGATATCTCGGGGGCCCATAAGGGAGGGTTACTACCGAGGCGTTTCTCAATTGGCGTTTTTATTTTACAAATTTTTTTCCCAAATTTTAATCAAAACTGGAAGTCAAAAACCAGATTTTGACAAAAAAATTAAGTTAATTTGTTAAGAAATATAATAAAATTTAAAATTAACAAGAAAGGAAGCTAACTTCGGCACGCCGAAGTTTGTATACCCTTGCAGATTGGTTTTCATATTTATATTATAAATTATAATGCCGGAAAACAGACCCTAAACAGAGTTTCATAACATTTTACCTATACTTATTATGTTTACAGTTTGACAGTTACAGTTTTACATTCCCAGCTTTACATTTTCTCTACATTTACCGATCGTTTATATGGCAGCTGTATGATATAGTTGTCCGATTTTCATAAAAATTTTACCAAAATTCTGAAATAATAAAAAAAGCTCATATCTAAAAGTAGATAGGAATATATTGAAAAACAACGAAGTTATAATTTTTTTCCTATTCATTTTCCGATCGTTCCTATGGCAGCTATAAGATATAGTCGTCCGATTTTTATAAAATTTTTACCAAAATTCTGGAATAATATAAAATGGCTATATCTTAAAAATTATGGAATAATATTGAAAAACAGCCAAGTTATAATCTTTTTTCTAAAAATTTATCGAACATTTGTATGGGAGCTATATGATATAGTCGTCCGATCCGGCCCGTTCCGACATATATAGCAGTGAGAGTATATAGAAGACTATATGCAAAGTTTCATTCAGATAGCTTTAAAACTGAGGGACTAGTTTGCGTAGAAACGGACAGACGGACAGACGGACAGACGGACGGACAGACGGACAGACGGACATGGCTAGATCGACTCGGCTGTTGATATATATATACTTTATAGGGTCGGAAAGGTCTCCTTCACTGCGTTGCAAACTTCTGACTGAAATTATAATACCCTGCAAGGGTATAAAAATAGCACGACGTAAGATACTTTAAAAATAGTTAAAGAAGTTATGTTCTGGATTTGAAACCGAATGGTTAAGTAGATTTTCAGTTATGGTGTATACCGATATTCAAATTGGCATTTTTCAGGAAAGTTTAACACAATGTGATAGTCGTTCTCGTGACATCGTTCAACTCTGCTTAACTTCGTCAATTTTTCTATGAGGTAAAACTAGGACACAATATTCTTAAGATATTGAGCTTGTAAAATCAGGGATGGCTAAAAAATAATCATTATTTTTTGAGCGATTCAGTAAATATAATAAATTATTAATGGCAAGCAATTTTGCTTATTTATGTATATTAAAATCAATAAACATTGATTTTTATATTTCCACCTAAAATGATTACGTGCCCTGTTTAAAATAAAAAACTTTACGAAAAAAAATCAAACCCCCCACTTCCTAAGGTGGTCCCCTGGCCTGAGATGCTCGAAGACAATCGTTTGGCTTTTATATGTTTATTTAGTCTATAATTTTACGCAGCGACTTAAACATTGATTAAATTACTCAACGATATATTGAAATTTCAAACTAGATATAATTTACACATATTGTACACAATGAAACTCACGGAAAGTTATTAACTCTAAACTGTAACTCGTAAAGTCGAACGAACTTGGAACACACAACAAGAGTGGACATAACATAACGCTGATTGCTGAGGGCTATTTCCGTCGTCTACTACTACTACGTGTCTTGTGTTCGCTCATGGAGGTGGGCGCCGCCCGCGTCACTCGCTTGGGCGTGGACTGCAGCTGGCCGGCACTGAGGTTCATCTCGAGCGACATCCGCTTTCGGGTCATGACTTGGGTGCTTAGCCGCTGGGCGCGTGCGGAGTTCCGAGTCGTTATCTTTGGAGTGCTCGTGCTGGCGAGCCGGGTTCGCGATGATCGAAGCGTCTTGGCGATGGCTGGCTGTCTGGACGTCGATGGCCTTGGCTCGGATTCGGGTTCTGGTTCCGACTCGGATTCAGCCTCGGATGTGGACTTTGAGTCTGCAACTATCATGGGCGGCACTCTGTTCTCCTTAACTGACGATGTGCTCTCCGTGGGACTGTTGGCATTCTTCTGAGTGGCGTCCAGGCGCTGCTGCTTTCGCAGCGGCGAGTTGCGAGGCGAGGGGGCGGCCGAGTCATTGGACCGCAGGGAACGGGAATGCGGATCGGACGGCGTTCGCCTGAGCACTCTTTTCCGTCCGTTTCGGAGAGGCGTTTCCAGGGCCAGTACCTTCCGCTAATGAAAACAATGCAAAAACAAAAAAAAAACAAATAAATATCGAATTAAAGACCCAAGGCAACTAAGCTACAAATGTGGTGGTGGAGGAGTGTCAACTAGTCACTAACTCTCTGCAAAGCTTAAAGGAAACAACTCGTTGGTGTCAGTTTTGAAAACGTTTGTGATTTGTTAATGCGGATTGCAACTTTTCTCTTACAAGCTAAATATAAAGGGTGTCTGGTGTCTGGTCATTTCAGTGCTGGTGCCTATGGTCCTGCTGCAGTGCTTAGAGCTGCATGCGTAAGCGCCTGGTACTCACTTTGCTGGCGGAGCTGGGAGCGGGCTGGGCGGCTGCCACGCCGCCTTTTCGGCTGCGCAGCGAACGCAGGCGAACATGACTGGCATTGGGCAGAGTCCGGCTGTCACTCGGCGGCGAGACTGCGGTGGGCGAAGCTTCAATCACCTCGGAATCGTTTGACTAGAGGGAAGAGTTGGATGGTTAGCATGCCAGTGTAGCCCAGTTCTTTAACCTCTTACCCGATCTACTCTGGCTGGACTCGCGGCGACTTCGCTTTCCGACGACGACGATGGTTCCTCGTAGCTCGGCGGCTTCTTCTCCGGCGTCTTGGATGACCTGGCTAGTGCTTGCTCGAGACGTCGCTTCATCTGCGGCCGGCGTAGATTCCTCTTTGATGTCTCGGCCGCCTCGGTTGCAGCAGCTCCTTCAGGCTCTGGTTCCGATACGTTGTCGGGCTCGGAGTCAGCATCGGCTTCGGCATCCAAGCCAAGCAGGCTATCCGCCTCCGAACGACTTATAGCCAGGGAGCGCCGCAGGTGACGGATTCCGATTATATTGGCTTCCCCAAAAGTAGTTACAATGGGCTCTGGCGCTGGCGCCAAGGCCGGAGAGGCTTCTGCTGCAGCTGCGGTTGCCTCACCTTGTGACGCATCCGTAACAGCCGCCATAGATGGCTCTGTGGCGGATTCTTCGGGAGCGGGCCCTGCAGCTGTCTCTTCTGGCACTACATTAACCGATGCCACTGTGGCTGTTTCGCACTCCTCGTCGCTGTCACCCTCCTCCGGGTTCCGGCGGGGTGGCGGTTCAAAGCTGCCGTTGACCATAAGCTTGAAGTTTTCAATATTCTTGGTCAGGCGGGGATCCAGGTCGCTCTGGGAAGTAAATAAAAAGGGAAATTAAGCACGAGGATCTTACGCTAACCAGCAAAGGGACTCACAGCTATCAGTTTGTCCGCCAGCTCGAGCATTTCAGCCTTAATTGCCGGCCCGTTGGATACGTTCACTGTTAGGGAGGTGAGCTCCTTGGCCAAGAGGCGGCACATATCCCGCCGCTCTGTGAAGTAGTTCTGTATGTACTGAAGGAAGCTCAGCGCGATCTTGTTGTGGATATTCGTCTGCGGAGAGGTGCCCTCCTGCATCGTCATTTCGATAAAGAACTTGGTCAGGTGATCTGGCTGAACTGTGCAGAGCGGCGAGTCAAAGTTGCAGTTCATTATGGTCCACACGCAGGGCAGGAGGCATGGCTGCAGCAGGGCCTGCTTCTTGTAGTGCAGCAGCTGCTCGAAGAACATGCCCAGCACTTGGCTGACGATGGCCTCGGTGTTTGGGTTGAAGTAGCGTCTCAGCAATGTTTCCATGACGTCCGTGCGGTCGTCCACGTGTCCGCGGAGCACCAGACGGCACAGTCCGCGCACTATGGCCAGGCGGACGCCCTTGCTTTGCACTCGATCCACAAAGTGACTCAACACCATGAGGATGTCGGAGTTTTGGTCACTGTTCTGCGATTGGGTGCCATCGTCGTCGCAGTCATAGAGGTCCTGCATCGTGTAGAGCTGGCGCCGCTTGCTCTTGTTTAACTGGCCGCCACCGCCGCCGGCTCCTGTTTGGTTAAGCTCGTTAAAGTAGTCCAGGCCGTAGTGGTCCAGCAGCTCCATCAGGCAGCTGGCCGCCGTCTCGCACAGGCGCGAAATGTTGTTGTTGCAGACCTGCTCCACCACCACCTCGAACATCTCCTTGCAGTACGTCTCGTAGAACAAGCAGTAGGTGGTGCCGCATTTGATGGCCCACTCGAAGATGTCCACCTCGGTGGAGGCCAGGTGGCGGCAGATGAAGTCCTTGTACAGCTGGCAGATGGCAGGCGTTAGCTTGTGCACGTTCGGCGATGCCACCATGTAGTACGAGATGAACAATGCCTTCAGTATGCGCTCCTGCTTGGAGAGCTTGGGCCGGGCGGGCATCTCAAGCACGCCGCTCCGCTCGAGCAGCGGCCGTATCAGCTCCGTGTACTCCGCGGTGACGGCGGTCTTCTCTTCTGTCACCGCCTGCGCGCGTATGTACTCCTTTTGGCGCACAAAGTTGTCCTCCTGCTCCTCCAGCTCCAGGATCTTGACCTTCAGCGCCGAGATCTTCATCTTCAGCGGCGTGTCCAAGTCGTCCAGCAACTTATTAATCAGGCTGCGGTCGTGAATCAGCTCGTTCTGCTTGGTGTTCAGCTCGCACAGCTCGTAGATGATGTCGATGAAGTACTGCATCCGGTCGTTGAGGTCGGTGATCAGCTGCTCCGTGCTCCGCACCAGGACGCACACAATCTTGTGGTCCAGCAGGCAGTCCTTCAGCAAGCAGGTGATCAGCACCCTCATATTGCCACGCCCGATCTCGTCGCCCAGGTCGTACGACTGCAGCATCTCCACCAGCGACAGCAGCATGTTTTGGAACTCGATCTGGGCGAACTTGTCCATGTCGGGCTTCTGGAACAGGCAAAATCTGCAGGGAAGGAAACTCGTTAAATGGTTGCTTTCGGCGGAAAGAGATGACCCCGACTTACTTCTCCACATAGCTGCAGAAGACACTTAGCTCGGGCAACACCGGGTCCGTCTCGTCCGCCTGCGTCTCCAGAAACTCGCTGAGGCACTGCCAGTAGAGCAGCAGCTCCACGGTCAGCAGGTCGTGGGGTATACAGCGGTGCAGCTCACAGTCGTCGCTCAGGGGCAGCAGCGCTGTCAGCTGATCGACGTCCGTTTTCTCGAAGATCACCCGTAGCATCTGCTTGGCGACTCGCCGGAAGCGCAGCAACTCCTCCTCGTTGGAGTCCAGCTTGAGGGCAGCCGTGAGGGAGATGTAGTTTTGCTGGTACGACTCGATCCAGGCCTTCAGCATGTAGTTGATCACGGTCTTGCGCACGGTGGCCGAGCTGTCGTTGAGTCCCTGCTCAAGCAGGGTCAGGCGCTGGGCCACCTTGTAGGAGCGGACCGGGTAGTTGCACATGTTGACGTACGTGTGCCGGCGCACCTTTTCGTCAACGTCCCACAGGCGCTGGAGGATGTACGGCACGGTAATGTAGTTGCGGCCCATGCACGTTATGATGCACTGACGTACGCTGGGCGACGGATCGGCGGAGAGGTGGAACTGGTAGGCCACCACAACGGGATCTTTGGGATTGTCTGGCATCTGCAGACGCTGCATGGCCAGCACGGCCTGCTTGCGCACACTGGGCGCCACATCCTTGACGCGCTCCAGCATCGCCTCTAGGATTTCGTCACACTGGGTGTCGTCCAGGGCGGCATTGGGTCCCAGCTCCTTGAGGATGAGATTCACGAAGTAGCAGATGCGATACCGGATGTGTGGATTGCTGGAATATGTCTGTCCAGAAGAGTTAAGTTGTGATTTCAAGGGGGTGGGGGTACAAGTACAGTAGACACTCACCGTGAGTAGCCAGTGGATGGTCGCGGCAAGCACTGGGTGCGTGCGCTCTGATTCGAAGCTGGTCACCAGGGTGGCGCAAAAATTGAGTGCCATGGTGGCATTCTCGTTGCCCTCCTCCGCCTCCAGGACCGCCTTCAGCACGTCAATGAACATCTTTTGGAACGCTTGGTGGCCCATCTACAAGGCAAACACAGAGATACCGAACATTAAATACGAGTCCTTGTTGCGCGAGGCCAGCGCCGTTCTAGAAACGCCGCCACCGCCACTACTCACCTTGGTGTACAGTTGCTGCATCTCCTTTACGTAGTTTTTGTGGAGTGACGCCTTCCGCTCGGCGTGCCGCATTATCGTATACATGGTCTCTGCCGCAATTGAGATTCTGGATGGTTCAGCTTGGCTGCTGGGTGCGGGCGCCTGCTCCTCGTTCTCCTTCTCCCCATCCTGCTTCTTGGTAGTACGTCCTCGCCTCTTGGCGGTTGCTGGCGGGGGCTTGGGATTGGCCTTTTCCTTGGCACTTGCCTTCGGCCTGGCCATTTCGTCGTGGTGTGGTTTAAGTGGTCCTGATCGCAAGATCAGCGCGGATTCGAGCTGTGTTTATTCGGAAATTCGACTATTTTCGAATTGCGGAGAGAGTGTGCGAAGCGATGGCGAAACAAACAAGCGTCGCGTTATTGCTCATTCCTCTTTCCACCCCTGTTCGCTTGTTAAATTCAAACTAGCGATGCGACGCGCTCGGCAAATTTAGTGCATTACCAGCGATAATGGTGTTATCGGTGCGATCGATAGGCACAGCTACCTATCGAGTTCGGGTTTAAACTTAACGGATCTTTTTGCATTTGATATTGTGGTGTTTCGGGGAATATCTTTGTGAATAACAGTTTTAATAATAATTTGCATTAACTGACTTTTGTATAAAAGTATACTTTTCTGGGTATCTGGCATTTTCATTCCTGTTCCGGGTATTCAATAGGAAATTTTAGGGGTGATTTTTTAGCTCAACGAAAACGATAGTAAATATGTACCTACAAATGGGAGATTGTTTACACATCCTAGTTTTCCCCTTGATAAGAGTCAAATGGGATTTTCCTGACCCGAAAAGATACGCACAATCAGTTTTTGAACACATGCTTGTAGATCCTCTGAAAAAGAATACTCAAAAGACAGCATTTTCGGTTTTTTTGTAAGGATCTAAGATGGGATTCCAAGATATATAATAATATATTTAATTTATTTTCAAAAAAGGATGGGGTCGAATCAAAATTAAATTTTTTTTTGGTTTAATGAAAATCTGATGAGTATATCCTTTAGCTACCATAGCTTCCATAGGAACTATCAGCAAAATGTAAAGGACAACGTAAAATGATTATGTAAACAAGAAAGGAAGCTAACTTCGACACGCCGAAGTTCTTATACCCTTGCAGATTGCTATTGGATCATTCGGAAAATTTCAAAACCGACCATGTTTTCATTGTCACTTGATAGAGCTATTTTCTTTTATAACAAAACGTTTTCATACAAGTCGAATACAAAAGTTGTAAGACCGGATCATCCACAAAAATATGTCCCGAATTTCGAAGCGCATCTACGAGCCCCGTACCGCTTATCCGGATCGCACCAAATCCGAGGAGAAGTCCTTCACAGAGCTGAATGTGCCGATCAAGAAGCTGGACACGGCGCTGCTGCTGCTCAGCTCGATGGAGGAGTGCGTCCTGATCTCTGTCTTCAGCCATATAACGGACTTTGCTCGCCGTCAGGATGCGAATGTACTGGAATTGAGGGAGCATCGCCTGCTGGAATTGCTCTTGGAGAAGGAGCTCTTCATCAGCAAAGACAACACGATGATCCGCCGATTCGCCTTGTATCTGCTCACTGCTTTGCTGGACAACGTTGACATGTCCACGTTTGAGCCGGAGCAGGCGAATCAGATCCTGGAGCTGGCCCGCAAGTACTACCAAAGGGAGGCCGACGACTTCTGCATCGAGTATCTGACTTATATAATAAATGTGTGCCTGAGGGATCCGCAGATGGCCCACAGTATTGTGGACGAAACGGAGTTCCTGGAAAAGTTCAAGCTGGTTTTCATCAATTCCGAGAACCCGGACACGGTGTTCCACTCCATCGAGGCTCTGCACCAGATGCTGCAGGCCCAGGGCGCCGACCAGATGCTGCTGTTCACCACGCAGCCTGACTTTCCGGTGGATCGTATCATTTGCGAGGTGACCAACGAGTACCAGGAGATTCGCAAGGCTGCCCTGAAGGCCCTGAAGACCCTCCTGTCGGATACTGGAGAGGACAGTGCCTTTGAGCCCCTGCATCGCTGCTTTTTTGTGCTGGAGCAGCTGGTCAAGGCCTTCTGCGACAATCCCCAGGGACCCGAGGCGACCGATATAATCGAGGTGCTAGCCACGGCCCTGCGCTCCGAGAAGATGACCAAGCTGTTCTTTGAGCAGAACCTCTTCGATCTGGTCGTGGAGCAGCTGCGGGTGTACATGGACCAACTGCCGCTGCAGATGCGCTGCACCATCATCTCTATCTTCGCGGAGACAGCTCAGTACGAGCAGTTCTTGCCGCGCATGCACAAGGCGGAAATCACGAACATGTTCCTGAAGTGCCTCATGGAGAACAAGCCGGCACCGGCGGCCTTTGTGATCCAGGGCCTGTGTCGCCTCTCACAGTACCCGGAGGCACTGCGTCGCATCGTGGCCGAGTATGAGGAGGGTGCGATTCGTAAGCTAGTTTCGATTGTTCTGTCACCGGATGTTGCCATCAAGACCCGCGAGCAGGCGGCCGAGTTCCTAGCCCGCTTGCTGGTGGCCGCGTTCAAGGATACGGCCGTCCAGCTGCAGGAGCAGGACATAGCCGCCGTCCTTACAGCCGTCTTTGCCCAGGGGCTGCCGGCTTTGTCCATTGATTTCGTCCTCTCGCTGCTGACAGTGATCGAGAGTCTGGCCCAAAACGAGGAGTACCGAACACTTCTGGGGGAGCATACATCCTTGACCGAACAGACTGCCCAGCTTTTGATGGTAAGTCCACATATTCGAGGAAATTATACTCATCCTCAACCGACCACAGCGCTCCTTTGCCCACTCCATACTGGTGAACAACATCTTCCGCTGCCTGTGCACGCTGATAGACGAGCAGCGGGTGCGCCAGACTTTGCTGGAGAACTACATAGTGACCTCAATTAAGCGTGCCCTCAAATCGCTGTCCAATCTGGTGAAGACGTCGGTGACCAACTTCATACTGCAGACCACGCGCTTCAATGAGTTCATCGACGTATACATCGATCGCGGCATCCTGGAAGTGTAAGGAAGTGTCATTGGTCCTTAGAGTAAGTCATAACCCTATCCCAAACACAGTTTAATGGAGTTCCAGAAGCACGCCTTCTGCGTTTCCACCTGGGGACCGGCCATCGAGAGCATTCTGTCCAAGTGCCCGACCCTGAAGTTCTGCATCCGCAACTGCCTTACTTTCACCGACATCACCTCCGGCAAGGACTTCTATGTGGCTCACAAAATGTACGACGACTTTCGCATCTTCCAGAACATCCTGCGCAACGACTGCTCGCCTCTGGAGCCCGTGTTGGTGGTGAACTTTGATCGTCCCACGCCGGATAAGTCCGATCTTGTCGATGTGCCTGTCAAGTGCTTGCACACGATCACGGAGCAGGCTGGCGAGGAGGGCTGGATCTACTGCAAGCGCCCCGGGGATTCCGGTTTGCCGGAGTACCTGGAGGCACTAAATCAAACGCTGGAGGTCAGTCGTGGTCGCATCAAAGTAAAACCTTTTTGTAAAAGCCCCTCTTTAGGAACACGGTTTGGTAGAGAATCCCGAACGAATCCGACGCTCCATTGACTTTGCCAACGTGGCCAAACGCAGCAAGCTGATCGCTCAGGCGGTAGCGGGAGTAATGAGCGATAATCTCAAGATCCTGGACCTCAACTCGACAGAGGAGTGCTCCCGCCACACGGTCAGCTGCCATCTGGCCGAACTGCGGTACGTGTATCACACAAACTTCATCCCGATCGGAGCGGTGCGCAGTGGCTGCCAGTTCGAGCGGGCGATCCTCTTCAAGGGATTGGCCGACCAGATCGGACTCCCCTGCACTCTACAGCGCAGTGTGGACGGACGGGTGCTCTACAACGAGGTGCCGCTGCCCCTAGAGCCCGAGGAGGATGTGCACTGCGACAAGAAGACGCTCAAGTTTATGCCCTGGCGGATGCTGAGACCCACCCATGTGGTGGATCTCATGTACAACGTGGGCGATCTGTATCCGATGCAGAGCCGCCAGGCGCTCCAGTACCTGCGCCTCTACTGATTACCAGTTTTTACTGTACCATAGTTATCACTGTACCAACATAGTTGCGTTTTCTAAATTGTAACGTCCGCTTGATTGTAAAATAAATCAGTAAAGCGCAGCAACCTAAAAGGTTAGCTGTTTTTAACTTTAAGTTTTTAAGTAATTTTATGTAGTCTATGTTTTAGCGGGAAAATACAAAAAACTTTCCAACTTTTCTTTTGGGTTTCCGAAAATTAGAATATTAAGAAATCAATAAAAAGAATTTGAAATCTGGAAAATTCTAACTGATTTTAATTATAAAACAATTTATGTACAATATACTTTGTTCTTTATGATGAATTTTATTTAAAAATAAATTAAAAATAGCATTAATACAAAATAATTGAAAATATGTAGCGTATTCTAAAAACGAGCTTCTTTACTCTAGGAATAATTTAACTCATAATTCCCAACCTTTTATTCAGTTAATAAGAGTTTTAAATATATTTAAATTGTTAAGAAATACCTATAATTAATAAATATTAATTTTTATTTTTTAGAAAAACCGATAAATCAGAAAGAACCACTAAATTAGTTTCGATAAGTCTGGTTCGAGTCCTGGCTGCCTATCAAAATCCTTTGCGCATGTCCTCCTCGTCTTGCTCCGTTTCTGACATTCGCAGTTCCAGTGGTGGGACAGATGGAGAGCAGCAGCGGGGCCAGCGGAATGCGGAGCACGTAAACAAGGTTCTCGGGCCGAGCAGCGGAGTCTCCACGGTAGATTAGCCATGATCAGACCCTTTGTCACGCTGCTCTACTTCCTGCTGACCAGCTCGTCCATTGTCTTCACGGCCTGCGTCAACAATGGTGAGTTGCGGCTGGCTGGCGGTGCCTCTGCGGAGCCCTCAGCGACGACCTTGGCGTAGGAAAAATCAATAACAAGTATGTTCCGTCGTCCAGTCACAGGCACCAGCTCTCCAGGACCCGGTCCAAGCACATCGCTGACCAGCGGGCACATCCATCGCACGGCGGCGGCCATCGAGCGTGTGAACCTGCTGTGGTGCTACGCCTGCCACACGATGGACGACGGCGAGGCCTGCGTGGATGTGGCGGTGAAGAATGACACAGCGCTAATGAAGAAGTGCCACGGCGAGGAGTTCATTTGCATGGTGAGTGTGGATTAGCTCTTGCCCTCTCTTAGCCAAAAATGTACCTAAAAATCTTTCGCATCCAGGTCAAGCGCTTCTCGTACACCACGAGCACGGAGAACTCGACCAGTTCACCGAAGATGTGGTCCCTGGACCGCCGCTGTGCCGCCAACTGTGAGCCCGGCTGTATTATCATCGGGGAACGGACCAAGCTGTATGCCTGCACCTCCTGCTGCGAGGAGTCCTTCTGCAACACGGGTCGAGGAGCAGCCTCGGGGATCTTCCATCGCGAGGACACGGGCATTGGCACACGCCTGTTCTGGCTGGCCGCTCCTTTCCTGGTCAACATGTCTCTGGTGTTGTACAAGCGTCACGCCGGCCACGTTCTCCTCAAGCTGCAATAGTCCTGTGGCCGCCTCACTGAATTTATGATGGGCCTCCAGGCTCCCTCAAAGATGCTCAAATCCACTCAATGCCAAATCCTAGCTAATTTTAGATCTATGTCCTCTGTGTAATGTAGATAGACTACGATGTTGCCGTGTGATAATAAAGGATGACCAGTCATAGTGCGCGATCTCACACCCGAAAACAAAAGCCAAAGCTCAATCTTTCTGTCATTTCTCTATTAAGGAATAACGTATTTATGTTTAATTAGAATTATATTATCATAGAAAGGATATAATTGAATTTGTGTATAAGTTGTGAGGAAGTTTAAACTGCTGTATTTCTGTACATTTTAAGTCAAATTTTACTTACTGTTGGAATTAAAATATAAAGTATTTATTTACTATTTGAAGAATAGTAAACTAAAGTAATTAGTTATTCGTTGTTTTTATAGTTCTAAAGGGTATATGAAAATATAGAGCATAGGTTTGTTCTCCAAGCCAATAAATAATTCATATCCCTTACTAAATAGCCTTGTTTTTAGTAGGTATTTTATATTTTCCTTAGGAAAATATTTGAAAATATTGATATACCAATATACAACCTAAAGTTTTAATGGATTATTCTAGCAGGGAAAAATAAAACACAAACAAAGCTATCTCCGGTAACCTTAAATTATTGATATAGAAAGTTTTCTAACCTTCTTCTTTTGTCTATTAAGAGCTTATACCTGTTCCTCTGCGTGAACCGATTTAGTTTTAATAAATGATTTGCATTGTCTGGGAAATAATTCCATTTTCCTAAATCAATTGCAATTATAATTTCTTAATTGCCTAGCAAAGGCAACATCATGCACTGGCATGGGCGCTTATCCCTATATAAACTGTTAATAGAATAATTTGAAGCTCGGCATTAGAACTCCTCCAGTGCCCATCTCTGGACACTGTTTGTTATTGCAGATTCTGGTAAACATCGCCGCCATGAATACATGCATTAAACCCCTCATTTGGCCCTCCGAATTGCATTACGTTTCCGCTTCCACAGGGCCTGGCCCTCCGGCTTCCTCTGTCTGCATCCGCATTAGGCTGAGGTCTGGTGGAAGAGGAGCAGACGGAGGAAATACTGTGGGGCGGCTCTTCTGGGCAGACATGAATTATTTATTGGACAAGCAGTCGCCGCATCCGAGAGGAGTATTCATAAGCCGAGGGGGCGGCAGCTCTTATCCGGCCTTGGCTGCTGGCCGGCAGATCCTGTTCGTCTAATGGAGTTGCCATTAAAAACAGATACTAACACGAGACATGCTGCCGGGCCTCTGGTTTTGTCCTTATTTTCGGGTCTGGAATGCAGCACGCCCCCTCATTTGGGACACGTACGTATATCCATATACATACATAAGTGAGGGGCACACACGAAAGGCTCGTTAACGCCCATGAATTGCACAGGACACTTTTACAATTACACAGGAAGAACATAGAATTTAAAAAAGTTACATATATACCTCTAAAAATATTGATAATTTTATAATTAATAAATGTTCCTAGTTTTCAGTGTGATTTACACTTAGATTACCACGATTTGAATATCCAAACTTTTACCATTTAATGACCAAATCATGTGCAGTGTAGATGAACATGTCCTGCTCTAGTTTCATTCCCCTGGAGGGACATTCTGGCAGTTGGAGGCGGCGAAAATGCTAGCCTCCTGGCTGCTGGCTCCTAGATGAACTGGCGGCGGCGCCTAGACTCCTTCATCTTGGCTAATAAAGCCGAGACAAATCTCTTCATTTCGGGCTTAATTTTCTTAGCAAATTTACATAAATGACCGAGGGGAGAATGACGGCGGCCAGGAAGTCGGATAGGGTTCATCCGGCTGGCCATCCATCATGGGTCTCAGTGGGCGGCGGCGTCGGAGGCGGCATCGGCGTGGCAGGGGGGATTGCTTTATGTGGTGGCCTTCGTGTGTTCGGCGTTTATTTTTGCGGCTTTCATGTCGTAAATCTTCATCAGACGGCAAATTACGTGGTTTCCATCGCGCCCTGCTCCTCCTGCTCCTTCAGCGGCATCCTTCGCTTTTTCGGGGGCACTTTTCGAAATGTGGCGGAACGTATCCGGCAAACAATAAAGTGACCGCAATGCGAGCCCCCACACCCAGAACCTCGTCAGGAAAAACAATAAACGGTGACAAAAAGGCAAACAGGATGCGCATAAAAACCACCAACAACAAAGGCCTAGGCGGCGGCAACAAACAACAACAAAAATAAGGATAACAGGAAGGAGGCGACTGCAGACCAGCCATTGACAACAGTTTCATTTATGAAAAATAATAGCAACAGCAATATGCAAAATTTATTATTATATTTGCGTTGAGCCGCAAAAATGCGACGGATTTCGAACCGCGACCCCAAAAACGTTGATGAGAGTGAGTGAATATCGGCGGAATAGTAATGAATTTGGGATACGCTTTTAAAATAAATTATTTGAAATTAAATGTATGATAAATATATGAAAAAAGGCATATATTGAGTAGATTATGGTCTGATAAAGCTATTAAAAAATGAATGGAGAAAGGAAGTTTTCTTGAAAACTTTACTTTTGTAGAAAGAAATAGTTAAAAATTTAACTAAAGATTAAAACAAAAATTCAATAATTATAAATTAAATCTTTTACTACTGCACTGTACAAATATGGATTGTCCACATTGCGTATGATTGTTATTGGAAGTTATATATTTTAAAAGTATTATTAATAAGGGCCTTTCTTGGGAAAATTTTTAGAATTATTAGTTATTTTTTAAAATCAAATTTACGAATCAAAATCTGTACTTTTTCATTAAGGTTTAAATTTAAATATTATAATTTCATTGAAATAGTGAACATACTTCTCCGGGAATCATTCAAAAATGTCACAGAGATTCCCCGCTGCCTTTATTGCTTCGCCTCGCTTTATTCATTCATTATTATGTATTGCCACTTTGGCATTGGGAACAGTGTTCCGCCTTGATTCCCGTTGTTTGCTTTGTGATTGCACCCGACACTGTTCTTTCCACTGTTTTTGTGTTTTTTTTTTTTTGTGATTTCCCGCTTTTCCGTTGTGCCGTTGTGCTCTGTTTTTCCGCTTTTATTTGCCATCATTCCGGCGCTCGTTAGCGATTGTTGTTGCCATGTTGGTTTGCTTGCTGCTGCTATTGCTGTTGCTGTTGCTGCTTTGTCGCGCCAAGTCCACAAAGAAATTTCAATTAAAATGCAACAATGCTGCACTCCATCATCCAGTGCCAAGCTGACAAACCGCGACACATTCCCCTGGCTAGCGCTACCGCTTCGGATCCTAGCACTGCCGGTCTGGCTCTCCTCCGAGTTCCCTAGAATTTGGCAGCGGCAGCCACCAATGTCGCACGTCTCGCCAATGGCTGGCAAATGAGTTTTCATTGCCTAAAGTTTTCCGGGGAAAAGAGAGGGTTTGGGCAACTGCCATAATGAGTTAGGGAAAATAAATTAAATCTAAAGAAAGTTCATTGGGAAAACTACTTAACTTAAGCTAACTTCATAATGCAATTTTGAGTAATTATAATTAAAATATAATAACTATTAATTAAAACTTACGATAGCTTTCTTAAAATTGGCATTTATTTAAAAGTTGTCTTAAAGGGTTTTAGGATTGTTAATTGAACTTTAAGTTAAATCTGGTTTAATATTTAATTTATTTGAAAATAAAAATTAAAACGTTTGAAAGAAATAAAAAAAACAGAAAGCTAAATTGGAAAGGATTCGATATCTTAATCGATAAGCATCGATGTTTTTCTAGCTCTAGCAGAAAGAATTGTTTTGTAGAAGTATCAAAGAATAGAACGAGGCCGTGAAATTGATTATAATTTTAAATAAGACAAATATAAGAAATCAACTTTTAGATCATTGATCATTATTCTTCCAAAAATGTTCTTTCTTTAATATAAACATCTTGGTTGTTCGTATATTTTAAAATCGATATTGTAATCGCTAAATATCGAAAATTTTTCATGTCTTGCAAACGAATGAAAAGACATGAGATATTATGCTAATTTAAAAAAATAAAAAATCTAAGTGTTCATATTTTCCTTCCAAAATTTCCCTGTTTTCTTGATGCTGGTGATAAATCCTTGTCGCTGAATATGCAGGATGAACAAGCTGGCCGAAAAACATGCCCAACTACGAGGCATCTGGCGGGGCATAGACAAGACCGGGCTGATGCTTCGGCTTCTGCTCCAGGACACAACATCCAGCATCCAGCATCGCAGCAGCCTTCATTGACAGCCCCCGAATGTCAGTGGCCTTGTAGCTGCTTGTTGCGAGGAGCCCACCGCCCACTACCCCTCGCTAGAGGCATCCTTGCAACGACTGTGTAATTAAAACTTTGAGTAACAGCCACGAAAACTACAATTGACTGACTGCCTGACATCCTGGGGGCATTGTAGTGCTATGCGGGTGGCGTCCTGTCGGGTGTTTGGGAGCGTTTTGGGGGTGGTGACCTAAGCTGTCAGTTGGCGCCACTTCGGGTGCGAAGTGTTTTCGTTTTCGCTTTCCTCTATTTTTTGTTCTTGTTTTTTAATAAACTTTCGCCAAGCTGCTGGCAGCCGCTCATCCCTTATTGGATTTTCAGCTTTCAGCTCTGGGAGTGAGGACGAGATAGTGGCAAGTCGCTGGGCTGGGGCTTGCCTCCATTAAGAGCTTGCGACTCTTGCGATTTGCGTAAACGATTTTGATAGATTTTGATGGGATTTTGGTTTCGGTTGCGAGTCCCTTAAACTTTCCCAATGACTGGTTTGCTCAGTTTGGTTTGGTTAGATTTGGTTTGGGTGTGGGTTGGGTTGGGTTGGATTGGATTGGATTGGATTGGTGTCCTTACGACTTACGGCTTTAATTCCTGCCATTCTCCCTGACAGCTGCAGGACACGAAAACGCACTAAGCGCAAATTAGAGAGAGAACCAAGGAAACTCCGTGTTGGGAAATTGATTTTTTCCTGTCTTTTCTTTTGCCAGCTTTACGGTAATTTGCTCAGACACACACAAACGTGCACTGGCAGAAAATAAAGGAAGTTCTTCTTGAATCTTAGCTCGCTCAGAGGGAAGCTGAGAGAGGGGTCCTTTAGGAACGTTTACCTAAATATCTAATAGATAAAAAAAACCTTTGTTTTTTTTTAGTTTCTATTGTTCAAACCCCTTTTTTATTTGCCGTGCAGAGACGATGTTCACTTGGATGCACACTCAAAATGTTTCTCTGCTCACGTTTAATGCTTTACATGAATTTGCATATTAATCTTGGGTTTCTTTCCCCCCTGGCTTCCCCCATGTTTTCCATCCCTTTTTGCTGGGCGCCATGGCAGCAACCTTTCCGAAATTACACGGAACTACACATTTTGGTTTGTCACCTCGGCATTAAGGCACGTAAAACGTAATCA